GTCCCCAGAGCTCACTGATGGATGGCAGCCGGAAGAGCAAGCATGGAGTCCACGTGCCACGGCCCCATCACTTGGGTGACCGCAGGAGAGGTGGCCACAGGCCCACTCTGCCAATGAGGGGTCAGCAGGCCAGAGAAACTTCACAAAGGAGGAAGTGGCACCCGAGAGGGGAGCATCTCCACCCTCCTCACGGAGCCGGGACAGGCAAGGCAGAGGAAGGTGTGGGGTGCAGCTGACAAGGCCACAGCCAGCCACCAGGCTGACCTGGGGGCTCTGACCACAGAACACGGAGAGGTCAACACAGTGGTGCCTCTGGCCCTTGGTTCAGTAGCACGGAGCAGTGTTTACCCTGGGCCACCAGGGAACACCCTGCTGACTGCTGGCCAAGGTGCCAGGCCCTGCTGGGGTGGGACTCCCCCTTGGCCTGGACTTCCTCCTCCTCCTCCTCCTCCTCACTGGCTGGACAGCAGCCAGGTTTAAGTTAGGCAGGGGTTAGCTTGGCCTGGGGCTTTTCAGCTCCTTTTCTATCGGATTTAGGCTCTCTCTGGGTGTCCCAGTCCCACACTCTCCACCGTCTGCTGTGGCACCTCGTTTGGCTGTCTCCCCGGTAAGGGGCATACCAACATGGGTTTTGCACTCCATCGAGCAGGCTAGGCAGCAGCCCTGGCGCCTCCTGTGCCAATTACTTCCTCCCCTCCTCCCCCTGGTGTTGGTTTCCTAATCTGTAAGCTGAGGTCCATCTTCTGGGTGAAATATGATGTCTTGACTCCAAATACTTTTTATTTTGATTTATTTATTTGAAAGGCAGAGAGAGAGAGAGAGAGAGAGAGAGACCGGCACTGTGGCACAGCAGGTAAAGTCGCTGCCTGCAGTGCCAGTATCCCATATGGTTCAAGTGCTGGCTGTCCCACTTCTGATCCAGCTCTTTGCTGAGGCCTGGGAAAGCAGCAGAAGATGGCTTAAGTGCTTGGGCCCCTGCATTCAACGTGGGAAACCCGGAGGAAGCTCCTGGCTCCTGGCTTCAGATTGGCCCAGCTCCGGCTGTTGCAGCCATTTGGGCAGTGAGCCAGCAGATAGAAGACCTTTCTCTCTGTCTCTGTAACTCCACCTTTCAAATAGACAAATAAGTCTTTTAAAAAAAAAAAAAAAGCAGAGAGAGAGAGAGAGAGAGAGAGAGAGAGAGAAACTCTCCATCTGTTGGATCACTCCCTAAATGGCCACATGCAACTGATGAGGCTGGGCCAGGAGGAAACCAGGAGCCAGGAACTTCATCCGGGTCTCCACATGGGTGCAGGGGCCCAAGCACTTGGGTCATTTGCTGCCTTCCCAGGTGCATCAGCAGGGAGCTGGTCTGGTAGCTGAGCAGCCAGCACATTAACTGGCGATCTGGCATCGCAAGTGCAGCCTAACCCACTGCGGCCTGACTCTAAGACACTTTCCAGTTGAAAAACCCATCATCCTAGCTGCAGGGATTTCTTCCCTGGCTCTCAGAAGAGCCAGCGCCCATAAGGGATGCTGGCACTGCAGGTGGTAGCTTTACCTGCTATGCCACAGTGCCAGCCCCAATAAATAAATTAAAAAAAAAAAAAAGCAGACATAGCTCCCACTATCCTGGAACTCTCCTAGGAGGAGAGGTGGGTATGAGCCAGCCAAATGGACACAGTGCAGTTGGGGTCAGGAAGGAAAGCAGTAAGGTGGGTGTAATTTGCGGGTGGGGGGCGGCCAGGGCCCATTTTGCCGAGGGAGTGACATTTAAACCAAGATCTGGACATGCGGGTTCACAGCGCCAGTGTGGGGTGACAACTGCAAGTGGAGGCAACAAACGTGTGGAAGACTCAGAGGTAGGAACGACCTTGGCCTAGCACAGGAGCTGAAAGCAGCCCGGTGTGGCAGGGGTTTGAAAACAGGGGCGGTGACTCACGGCGGCTCGGCACTGGACTCTGGACACTTCCGTATCGTTTATGTACCTTCACGGCCCCGCACCACCTGGCCTTATTGATCCACCCACCTAGATTCTTTTTCTTTTAAAGGTTTACTTTCTGGGCCAGCGTTGTGGCATAGCAGGTAAAGCTGCCATCTGCAGCACCGGCATCCCATATGTGCACTGGTTCGAGACCTGGCTGCTCCACTTCTGATCCAGCTCTCTGCTGGTGCTCCTGGGACAGCAGCAGAGGATGGCCCATGTGCTTGGGCCCTGCACCCACAGGGGAGACCCAGAAGAAGCTCCTGGCTCCTGGATTCAGCCTGGCTTACCCCTGGCCATAGTGGCCATCTAGGGAATGAACCAGCAGATGGAAGATCTAGATCTTTCTGTCTTTCCCTCTCTCTCTGTAGCTCTGCCTTTCAAATGGGTAAAATAAATCTTTTTATTTTATTTTATTTATTTATTTATTTATTTTTTTGACAGGCAGAGTGGACAGTGAGAGAGAGAGACAGAGAGAAAGGTCTTCCTTTGCCATTGGTTCACCCTCCAATGGCCGCCGCGGCCAGCGCGCTGCGGCCGGCGCACCGCACTGATCCGATGGCAGGAGCCAGGAGCCAGGTGCTTTTCCTGATCTCCCATGGGGTGCGGGGCCCAAGCACCTGGGCCATCCTCCACTGCACTCCCTGGCCACAGCAGAGAGCTGGCCTGGAAGAGGGGCAACCGGGACAGAATCCGGCGCCCCAACCGGGACTAGAACCCCGTGTGCCGGCGCCGCTAGGCGGAGGATTAGCCTAGTGAGCCGCGGCGCCGGCCAAAATAAATCTTTTAAAAAATTTACTTTATTTGAAAGGCAGACTAGCAGGGGTGGGAGAAGGCTTCCATCTGTTGATTTATTCTATAAATGTTCACAATAGCCAGTGCTGGGCCTGGCCGAAGCCAGGAGCTAGGAACTCCATTCGGGTCTCCTGTGTAGTTGGCAAGGGCCTAAGTGCTTGAGGCATTGTCTGCTGCAGCCAGGGAACATTAGCAGGGAGCTAGATCCGAGGTAGTGAAGCCAGCACTTGAACCAAGTGCCCCAGTACAGGATGTGGGCATCCAGTGGCAGCTCCACCTGCTGCCCCACAATGCCTCCACCCTCCCCTAATCTCATTTTGAGGCAGTTTCTTCTTTAAAGGCAGAGCCAAGATGCCAGTTTGCAATGAGGGGGTTGGAGTACAGCAGGGCCCATTCCTTTGGGAAATGGAATCTCCGTGGCTGAGCCTCTCAGGGGTGCCTGCTTTTGGGATCCAGTCTCCCTGCTGCAGGGCCCTGGTGGGGAGCAGGCTGGGCCAGGGAGCGGATCACGGAGGAGGCCCTGTGGGGAACTTTGATTTTTACCTCTGCCCTGCACCTTCCTCGTGTCACCCCAGCCTTCAAGAGAGCCTTGCCCGGTGGGACAGCTGAGCCTCGGCTCTCGCCGTGAGAACTAACCCCAGAGCAGTGAGAGCGGCAGCCTGGCAGCCTGGGGAGAGATGGGCGGTGCCTTGGAGATGCCAGGTTTAAGACAGCTGGGGGGGGGGGGGGTTGGCCAGCAGGGCTCTGGGCCTAAATCTTTCTTTGGGAAATGGAGACGGGCCTGGCCTCTGTAGTAAAGGCAGGGACATGTGGGTTCATCTCTTTGCTCCTTAGTTCATAGAGAATGATCTTTCCTGGTACCTACAGGTGGCTGGGTGTCCCAGGATGGGGCCTGAGAGGAATTACTAGGGGCAGGAGTGTCCCCACCCACCCAGAAACGCAGGAGCCGGGCAGGGCCCTGCAGAGCCAAGATAACCAGGCGAGAGTGACCTGACAGCGATGAAGGAAGCACAAAGCAGGGAGCCTTGCTTGTCATCCCAGGGATGATGCAAAATCGCGAGGAAAGTTCTGGGAACTCCGCCAGGTTCATTATTCTATTTTCTTATGGTTCCCTCTTTTTCTGTTTAGATTTATTGATTTATTTGAAAGGCAGCGTTAGAGACAAAGTGTCTCTCTCTCTCTCCCTCTCTCTCTCTCTCTCTCTCTCTCTCTCTCTCTCACACACACACACACAGACACAGACCTTCTACCTGCTGGTTCACTCCCCAAATGGTTGCAATGGCTAAGCGGAAGCCAGGAGCCTAGAACTCCATCGGGGTCTCCCAAGTGGGTGGTAGGGACCCAAGTACTCGGACCATGTTCTGCAGTCTCCCCAGGTGCATTAGCAGGAGGCTGGATTGGAAGTGGGGCCGCTGGGACTGGAACTAGTGGTCATATGGGATGACAACATCCCAATTGGCGGCTTAACTCTCTGTGCCCTTTTCCCTCATCTTCACAGAGATGTAAAAATCCTCACAAAGCTTCATCTCATTTCATAGAGAAGAGAATGTAGGAGGCTCTAGTGGTCCTGACTCGGCTGGCAGATGCGGAAGCCAGGTGAGAAGAGGCAGGCGGTGACACCCAGGAGAGGAGCAGGCGGTGACACCCAGCACAGGGGCAGGCGGCCCCATCATTGAGGCCCAGCGGGAACAGGGTCTGCTGTGAGCCCTGCAGCGTCAGGCAGCCTGTGCTGGGGCAGGGACAAGTGGCAGTGATCTTGCAGGTGTGGAGCGCCCCTCCTTCCGTCCCCTGCCCTAGGCACTGGCTAAGCAGGAGATGGACAAGGGTCTGGGCAAACACCTTTATTCTGACCGTAATCCCAGGTCCCTGGGGAGCGGGTCCGCGCTGCAGGGGCTGGAGTCAGCAGGCCCGGGGACACATGCAGTGCTGCTTCTGGCTGTGGCCGGAAATGGCTCTCCAGAGGGGGTCACCGGGTCTCCACCTCAAAGTCCATCTCAGAGTTGAGGGAAGGCAGCCGAATTCCAGCGAGGGTGTGGAGCCCAGGGACCTGGTCCTGCTCCTGGATCTGGTCTCGGAGGCGCTGGATTTCCAAGCGCTGCATTTCAATGATTCTCCCAGTTTCCTCCTGCTCATTCAGTCTCATGGTGGGAGAGACGCTGAGCGACTCCTTGCTGGGCACTGTAGGGGACAGTGACAGCAGGACAATGAGTACCTGCTCACAGGTCAGCTGCAGCCTCGCCTCTCCTCCCTCTGCCTTCAAACATGTACTGGGCAACAGCCCGGGGCACCGGGGGGTGGGGGGGAGGTACGCAGTCCCAGAGAGACTGAGTCATAGCTCTGAGTGGCAAGGCAAATGCTGACCTTGACCCTCTGAGTCCGCCTGCCCTAAGGCCCTTCCTCATTCTCGCACCCCCTCCCCTCAGGAGGGGTGGCACTGCCTTCTGAGCCACCAGCCCTCCTCCCGGGAAGCCCTGCCCCTCCCGGAGTGGCTGCTCACGGCTGCTCTCGGGGACTCTCCCCGACTCTCCATCACCCTCTCTGTCTCACGTTCGGCCATCATCCTGGGCAAGGCCGGTGTCCAGAGGATCCATGGCCCCCCGAGCTGAACCCCAGCACTAATGACTTGGCTCTGCTCCACGTCAGCACTCGCGCCGCGGCATCTTCTCTCTCAGAGCCACGCGGGACCCCGCATCTTTGAATCCCTTGTGCTGGTGTTTCATTCTCGGACCACAGCCTCTCTTACTGCCTCATGCCCAACACACGTGGTCCCGGAGCCGAGCCCTCTTCCTCTGGTATACGCCCCCCACCCCCGGGCACGTGGGCTCCTTTGAGACTCGCTTTTCAGACCACTTAGGCCCCTGTTTCTTCAACAGCCCGCTGCGTTCTGGGAGCCCTGTCCAGCCCAAACCTGAGATGAGCAGCTCTCAGTGTTTGCATTTCGGGGTTTCCAGCCCCTCGTGGGGTTTCTGTCCAGAGCCGGCCAGGGCTCCCTCTGCCCCTCCCCCTCCTCCTCTCCCTCACTGTTAAAGGATCACATCCACCTACTTCCTTGAGAAGCCGTGCCCAGTCCTTGACCATGGTCAGATGTCTCCTGGACAGAAGACAGCAGAAGACGGGTCCCTTTCCTGCCTGGCTCTTCACTTTTGCCCTTTGCTCCTCAAAGTGTCTCCTTTCCCGCAATTTCTAGGCTCTTGGACCTTTTAGTATTTCTTCATTTCCTGGGTCTTGATCCTTCACGCTGTCCCTGCCCCTGGTTGCCCCGGTAACCATGCACTCAGTCAGGCTCTGGGGCTCCAGGGGGCAGGCGCAGCAGCACAGGCCTCCAAGCCCGCCCACCTGCTGGGGCCGGTGCGCTCTCACCTCACGTCCCCACCTGCTCCCTCAGCGGCTTCCTCTTCCCTGGCACAGTCTGCTCCCCCCATCAGCCTTCATACAACACCAGCTCCTTGCTCCACGTGCTGCACGGGCAGGCTCTTCCCACACATGCGAAAGCCCAGGGCAGCGCAGGGGTCACAGTCTGGGCATTTTATTTTACTTCTCATTGATTTCGTTTGTGTCTAATTAATCTGTTCATGGGGCTTCTAAGTATGAGCACTATAGTTTTAATTTCCAGAAGCATTTGTTTTTTTTTTTTAAACCTGCTTATACAACTTTGGGAAACTCTTGCTTTTTTTAGTCTTATTTTCAAATTCCTCTTTTATTTCTTTTAACATATTGAACATTCTTATTTTAGTCATTCTACTATCCTTTTTTTTTTTAATTGGTCTTACTCTGTCACTCAACATTCTTGTTGTTTTTCATTCATGGCGATTTGTTTTCTCTTACATTTCGTGATTTTTGGTTGAGTGCTCATGATCGTTGGAACATTATCTATGGGAATTCATCGAAGACTGGGTTTATTTTTTTATTTTATTTTATTTTTTTTGACAGGCAGAGTGGATAGGGAGAGAGAGAGAGAGAGAGAGAGAGAAAGGTTTTCCTTTGCCATTGGTTCACCCTCCAATGGCCGCCACGGCTGGCGTGCTGCAGCTGGCACACCGCACTGATCCGAAGGCAGGAGCCAGGTGCTTCTCCTGGTCTCCCATGGGGTGCAGGGCCCAAGCACTTGGGCCATCCTCCACTGCACTCCCTGGCCACAGCAGAGAGCTGGCCTGGAAGAGGGGCAACCGGGACAGAATCCGGCGCCCCGACCGGGACTAGAACCTGGTGTGCCGGCGCCGCTAGGCGGAGGATTAGCCTAGTGAGCCGCGGTGCCGGCCGAAGACTGGGTTTAAATCTGCTTTTTCAGGGCCGGCGCTGCCTGTCAGAAAAAAAAAAAAATCTGCTTTTTCAGAGGGAATTAGCATTTACTTCTGCTTGAAAACTGGGGACATTATTAGCGCAGGGTCATTTTAAACTACATTGTCAGCTAGGGCTGCTCTGAGCCACATTCTGAGTGTAAGTGTGGGACTTGCACCAGCCTGAGGGTGGGCTCTGGCCAGCGCTTTCCCAATGTTTTGCTTCCCTTCCTCCAGAGGCCGGGCTGACCCAGATACTTATCTCACCTTTCTCCCTGTGCGAGCTAGCTTCTCCCTCTAGTTAAACTTCAGCTTCCTAACCCACTCCATATTGCTTTGACTTTTCTTTTTCTTTCTTTTTAAAACCTACATCTGCACTAGGAAACTGGAAGGGCAGTAGGCTTTTCCTAATGATATATTTTGTTAATTTAAGAATTATTATTCATCAAAGCCATATATGACCACAGAATCAAATAATGCTGTAAGTCTTATTACAAATAACAGTAATCACCCATTCCATCTTCCACGTCACTTCTCAATCCTCAGAGGCAGTGGTTCAGTTACTTTGCTAATTCTTCTGGTATGAACGTCTACACTCTGCTTTCTCTGATTAATGCGCTTTTATTACCTCTCTCATGTGCAGGCATTTTCTGTTGTCTTCTCCCCATGAAAGATGAGTGTTTAACTTTACTTCAGTCCCCTCCCTTGCCCAGTGTGGATTTCCCTTCCTGTCATTCCCTGAATTTTGAGTGGATCAATGGTCTGAATTTATATTACAATGATTTATGTAACTGCTGGTTACAGCTGAGCCACACTGTATAGAATAACTCATTTTTCTTCTCTGCACAATTTGCTTGCCCTGGAGTTCATAACTGTCTTGTTGTTTCACTTGCTGAATTTTGTATGCACGCATTGCTAATTCCTGTAGTTGTGTGCATGTTCCCATCAGTTTCATCTCCTCCAAGTGCCTTCTCAGCTCCTCCACCTAAACCGACTGCTCGGAGTCCTGCGGAGAGCTGTTTTCCGGGTCCGTCCTTCACCATTACTTTAGGGGTTCCTTTGCAGCTCTCCTATTTGAGTGTCCTGTCTCTTGAATGCCATGGCTTCTTTCTCAGCTTGCTTTCTTTGTTTGGTGAACAGCATCCATGTGTAGCTTCTTGAGAAAGTGTGCATGGAGGTAAGTTTACTAAGGCCCTGAAGATGCTTTAATCCTAACCTCGCCCTTGACCGAGAGTTAGGCTAGTACAGAATTCTGACTTGGAAGTCACTTTTCCTTGGAAGATGAAAGGCGCTGATCCATGCCTTCCGGCATCCAGCTAGCTTCCAGCATCCAGCCTTTGGTGAGAAGCCCAGTGCAACTGGGATGTTGTTGTTTGATTCTTTCATATGTCAAAAGGAGAAACATTGTCATATGTCAAAAGGAGAAACAAAGAAACCTTTTTCCTACAGTGCTACTTGGGTGACTGCATAATCACAATGTTTTAAATTTAAAAATTGTAGGGCCCAGTGCTGTGGTACAGTGGGTTCAAGCTGGGCCTGCGGTGCCAGCAGTCCATGTGCCCACCTGTTGAGTCCTGGCTGCTCCATTTCCAGTCGAGCTCCCTGCTAATGTGCCTGAGAAAGCAGTGGAAGATGGTCTAAGTGCTTGGACCTCTGCACCCTTGTGATAGTCCCAGAAGAAGCTCCTGGCTCCTGGCTTCAGATGGGCTCAGCTCCGGCCATTGTGGCCATTTGGGGAGTGAACCAACGGATGGAAGAACTTTTGCTTTGTCTCTACCTCTCTAACTCTTCCAAAAAATTAAAATAAATCTTAATTTTTTTAAAAAAAAGTTGTAGTAAAATATACGTGAGATTTACTATCTTCTGTGTACAGTTTGTGGCTTTGAATACACTCATACTGTTGGACAACATTTATCACCATCCATCTCCGGAGCCTTCGCATCTCATCCAACTCATACTCTGTACCCACTCAACCCTACCCATTCCTCTGCACTCCTCACCCCCTGGAAACTCTGAGTACTCTGAGGACCTCATTTCAGTGGGATTATACAATATTTTTCCTTTTATAACTGTTTTTTTTTAAATAAGATGTTTGTATCCATTTGAAAGGCAGAGTTACAGAGAGAGACAGGGTGAGGCAGAGAGATCTTCCATCTGCGATTCACTCCCCAAATGATGGCCAAGGCTGGGCCAGATCAAAGTCAGAACCTCCATCCAGGTCTCCCATGTGGATGGCAGGGCCCCAAGTACTTGGGCCATCTGCTGCTGCTTTCCCAGGTGCATTAGCGAGGAGCTGGATCAGAGGCTCAGTGGAGACTCCAACTGGTGCCCATATGGGATGATGGCATTGCAGGTGGTGGCTTAACCTATAGTGGCACAATGCTGGCTCCTGGTTACTAGCTTATTAAGACATTAGGAGATGGGTGGGCATTTGGCACAGTAGTTAAGACATTGCTTGGGATGCCTATATCCCATACTGGAGTGCCTGGGTTCAGGTTCCAGCTGCACTTCTGAGCCCAGCTTCTTGCTAATGCACACCTTGGGAAATGGCGTGTAATGGCTCAAAAGGCTGAGTCCCAGCCACTGAGGCCTGGGTTGAGTTTTGAGCTCCTCCTTGGGCTTGGCCCAGCCCTGGATGTTGCAGGCATCTGAGGAATGAACTAGCACATGGAAGCTCCCTGTCTGTCTCTCTCTGTGTCTTTCAACTTAAAAAACAAAAATGGGCTGGCACTATGGCACATCAGGTTAAAGCCCCAGACTGCAGTGCTGGCATCTCATAGGGGCACTGGTTTGAGTCCTGGTTGTGCCTATTCAGATCCAGCTCTCTGCTCTGGCCTGGGAAAGCAGTGGAAGATGACCCAAGTCCTTGGGCCCCTGCACCCACGTGTGAGACCTGGAGGAAGCTCCTGGCTCCTGGCTTCAGGTTGGCGCAGCTCTGACTGTTGCAGTCATCTGGGGAGTGACCCAGCGGATGGAAGACCTCTCTCTCTCTAGCTTGACCTCTCTCTGTAACTCTTTCAAATAATAAAATAGTTCTTAAAAAAAGACTTAGGAGTCTGTAACTCTGTCTTTCAAATAAATAAAATAATTCTAAAAGAAAAGCAAAAAAAAAAAATAAGTTCAAAAAGATATCAGCAGAATATCTTTAAGATTCATCTGTCTTGTAACATGTCAGAATTTCCCTCCATTTTAAGGTTTAATAATATTTAATTGTATGTATATTTTAATATTTTATATTAAATATTAATATTAACATTTTAAAAATATTTATTTTATTTACTTGAAAGAGTTCAGAGAGAGAGACATCTTCCATCTGCTGATTCACTCTCCAGACTGCTGCAACGACCAAAGCCAGGAGCCAGGATCCAGGATCCAGGAGCCAGGAGCCAGGAACTTCTTCTGGGTCTCCTGCATGGGTGGTAGGGGCCCAAACACCTGAGCCATCTTTGGCTGCTTTTTCTAGGCCCCTGGCAGGGAGCTGGACTGGAAGTGGAGCAGCAGGATGCTGGCATTATGGGGGCTTTACCTGCTACACCATAATACCCACGCATCAACGGACAACTGTGTTGTGCATACCTTCTGGCAACTGTGGGTAATCCTGTTAGGAGCATGGTGTATACAAACATCTTTAAGTCATGGCTTTCAATTCTTTCAAGTATATATTCAGAAGTGGAGGTGCTGGATCATACGGTAATCTTATTTTTAATTTTTCATGGAATTGCTGTACTCTTTTATACAGTAGCTGCACCATTTAACAACGCCACCAACAGGGCTCAAACATCCCAATTTCCCAACATTCTTTCCTACAGTTGCTATTTTCTGATTTTTTAAAAAATACTTATTTATTTATTTATTTGAAAGGCAGAGTTACAAAGAGACAGAGAGAGAGTCTTCCATTCGCTGGTTCACTCCCCAAATGGCTTCCATGGCCAGAGCTGGGCCCATCCGAAGCCAGGAACCAGGAGCTTTTTCCAGGTCTCCCACATGGGTGCAAGGGCCCAAGGACTTGAGCAATCTTCCACTGCTTTCCCAGGCCATAGCAGAGAGTTGGATTGGAAGTAGAGCAGCCGGGACTTGAATTGGCACCCATATGGGATGTCGGCATTGCAGGAGGCGGCTTTACCTGCTATGTCAGAGCACTGGCCTCTAATTTTTTTAAATAACAGCCTTTTTAATGAGTGAGTAGTATTATTTCATTGTGGTTTCGATTTGTACTTTCCTACTGGTTAGCAATATTGAGTATCTTTTCATATGCTTATTGGCCATCTGTGTATTCTCTCTGGCAAAATGTCTATTCAAGACTTTTGCCCATTTTTAACTTTTGTTGTTGGTGGTGAGTTCTTTATATTCCTGTTTTTCTGGATATCGATTCTTTTTTTTAAAGATTTATTTATTTATTTGAAAGTCTGAGTTACACAGAGAAGAGAGGCATAGAGAGAGAAAGGGAGAGAGGTCTTCCATCCACTGGTTCACTCCCCAATTAGCTGCAACAGCTGGAGCTACACCGATCCAAAGCCAGGAGCCAGGAGCTTCTTTTAGGTCTCCCATGAGGGTGTAGGGGCCCAAGGACTTGGGCCATCTTCTACTGCTTTCCCCGGTCATAGTTATAGCAGAGAGCTGGATCAGAAGTGGAGCAGCCAGGACTCGAACCGGCGCTCATATGGATGCTGGCACTGCAGGTGGCAGCTTAACCTGCTATGCCACAGTGCCGGCCCCTTGGATATCAATTCTTTACTAGGCATATGATTTGCAACTATTTTTATTTTGTTGCCTGTGTTTTTGGTATGATCTACCAATGACATGGTTGTCAAATCAGACGTCATGATGATTTTCCTGTACGCTTTCTTCTAGAGGGTTTACAGTTTTAACTCTTATGTGTAATATTTGATACATTTGCGTTATTTTGCATGGTCCACCTTCATTCTTTTGCACACAGATACCCATTTTTCCAACACTAGGTGCTGAAAAGATTGTCCATTCCTCATTGAATGGTTTGGCACCTCTGCTGACAATCATTTGCTCCTATGTGCAATTGTTTATTTCTGAATCTCAATAGTATTACCTTGGTCTATATTTTTCTTTATGCTGGCCCCATACTGTTTTAATTACTGTAGCTTTGTTGTAATTTTTGAAACAAGGGAGTGTGAAACGCCCCACTTTGTTCTTTTTAAAGACTGTTTTGGCCTCTTAGGGTAATTTGAGACTCTGCAGGAATTTTAGGACAGGTTTTTGTGTTTCTGTAAAAACGTCACTGGGGTTTTGGTAAAGATCACACAGAATCTGTAGATACTTTGGGTAGTGTGGTAGAATGTGGTAAGTCTTCCAATCTGTGAACATGGGTGTCTTTCCATTTATTGGTGTCTTCTCTCTTTCAGTGATGTTTTGCAGTTTTCAGTCTTTTGCCTCTTTGGTTAAATTTATCCCTAAGTATTTTATTCTTTCTGATGCTATTGTAAATGGAACTGATGTCTAATTTTCCTTCTTAGAGTGTTTATTGCTGTGTGCAAAAAGTGCAACTGTTCTTTGTGTGTTGATATTGTATACTGTAAGCAGGATTATTGATCCTTTGTGGGAAACCTCTTACTCCTTTTGGAAATTTGTTTTTTCTTTCTTTTTTTTTTTGTACTCTGATATTTTGAAATTTGATGATGACTTGATGTGGGTCTATTCTTTTAAAAGATTCATTTATTTGAAAGGCAGAGTTACAGAGACAGAGGGTGAGAGAAAGAGGGGGAGGGAGGGGGAGGGGGAGGGGGAGGGAGAGGGAGAATCTTCCATGGTTCACTCTCCAAATAGCTATAACAGTGGGAGCTTGGCCAGGAGCCTGGAGCTCCATCTGGGTCTTCCATATGGGTACAGGGGGGTAAGCACTTGGGCCATCTTCTGTTGCTTTCCCAGGTGCATCAGCTGGGAGCTGGATCAGAAGTGGAACAGCCTGGACTCAAATCAGGTGCCGACCTTACACCACAGCACTGGCCCTGGGGTCTGTTTTTAAGCCTTCTATTGGGTAAGAGATGGACCCGACATCTTCTTCAACAGATTTCCCTTATTTTTCCTCCTCTTTCCCGCTCTACTTTCCCCTCCACTTCCTGTGCGCTCTTGAGAATTCCTGAGGCTGTGGAGGGTTTGGGGTACTCATTAGGTTTCTTTTGGGCTCCCCACTTCTGGCTTAGGATTCACATTTCTCAGGCTTTCTGTGGGTTACCATTCACCCACACAGGTCGCAGCTTCCAAAATTTTGTGTCTCTTACTCCCTTTGCGGTCGTTTTCTTCCATCGGCTTGTTTATATCACTTCAAAAGCTTTCCAACCCGCCACCTCTAGTCACAGTTCTGATGACGCCGTTTTTGTGACTGAAAATCAAGCAGGGTAGCAGCCAGGTCTGTTAGCTCACGGCCGAGTGCATGGGAACTTAGCACCACGCCGCTTTTAATCATGGTTTGTGGATGGCAGCCTCTCTTACACAGATAAACTGAACTGCCCACTCCTACACAACTTGAGGCTGTACGCTTTGAGCTGGCATGTTTTGGGGGCTCACGTTCAGAATTAGAGGTGAGACTTGGGGTTTTCACAATCCAGGCAGAAAGCTGCTCATGCTTGTTTTTAGTTGTTACAGATGAAACCCTCCCGGAGTGAAACTGTTATCACACAAATGGTGGGATGCTTGGCTGGCTCCAAAGTGATCCCTGGTGAGCGTGTGAGGAGGTGACAGTCGCTGCCGCTGGAGGATGGGTCCCCAGCATTCAGGAGACTCTGCTCTCAGTGCCCGTGTATGGCTGGACATCCCATAATAGTATCGCAGACCTGGTCAGATCACACAGCACCCGGAGGAGGTCCTGACTGAGCACCTGTTAGGGTGCCTGGGGGATTTGGGATGTTTTGCAATTGTCCACAGGCCATTTGGGCTTGACCTCCGAGAGAGAGAGGTCAGTGTCTCAATTGTGCAACACAAGCCGTGGCCTCGCACCTGCACTACTACTCGGAGGCCCGACTCTCAGAAGGGCACACGAGGCAACACAATTGTACCCACATATACCTGTATGTGATACGTATTCATATGCTCACACATAGAGATGTCACTTTGTAACAGTTTCAGAGCCTCAGCCACCCTCCCTGGGTGATAATATCTTTGGTAACCACAGACAGCTGACATCTGAAAGACTCAGTCCACAGCCCTGAGAGGCTTCCATTCAAAGCGCCCCAGGCTGTACTCCTGCTGCCGCATTCCCCCAGGAGTGTGGAACCACCCCCACCCCACCCCACCCCCACCCGCTGGGGTCTTGTCTCCCGCAGGTAAGTGGACACCTGTGGCATGTTTTTTATGGCCTGCAGGACTGTGGTTAAAGTTCGTGCACTGTTATGCAACACTCCTTTCTCAAGAAGTCACGTGATAACTTTCTCATGGAATTCAGTGCCAGGGAAAGGTCTGTTTCTCCAAGGAAAAAAGAAGAAAAAACTTGCTTTTGTCATAGAATGAGGACCAGGTTAACACCGTCTTACTCCTTTGATTCCCTTTTTGCCTTGGCTGTCAGAAATCCAGAGGAACTTTAGGATACGATTGCAGTAACTCATTTAATATTTCTTATGTAATTCTTGTCTGTCTCCCTTTAAATAGCATCTCATCTTCCTTTTGGTCTTCATTTAATTGTACGGGCCCATAACCCCCTTATCCATAATTCCAGAGTGCAAAATGATCTAAAAACAGAACACTTTTTCCAAAATTCATGAAGCTTGGCATGAATATTCATATATCACTACTGAATACTAATGAGTTTGGTTGCAGGGTGCTGCCCCAGACCCCCTGGGGATGTTATGTAACACACAGCTCCGTCTGCTTTTCCTAAAACTGCAAAGATTCTGGATTCTGCACGCTAGCTAACCCTGAGGACTGCAGGCTGGGGACTGAGGCCTGGGAGTGTTTGGAACTGCTCAGGTCCTCACAGGCCTGGGGCCAGCAGGTCTGTGGCCTGCAGGCTCAGAAGGCCATGGGGTGGCTGCCACCTGCTAGAGGAGAAAGCCAAAGAGAGATCTCTGCTGTGGGTCCCTGACTCAGTGCACACCTGCCCGGCCACTGGCAGTATTACCTGCTTCTGGAGCTTCTTGTGGTCGGATTTTCTTGGTTAATTTCAGAGCCGATTCAAGGTCATAGACTTGAGAGCGGGTGAACTTCAGCTCTCTGCGTAGCTCATTGATTTCCTTGATCAGAGAAACATTTTCCTGCAGAAAAGAAGGAAAGAGAGTGAGTATGGACGGATGAGTGGCTGGTGGGCACGAGGCACAGCCTCCTGGGGCTGAGGACATGTGGAATGGGCAGGGTCTGGCCTGGACCCCAGTTAACTTTCTGGATCTTTTTTTTTTTTTTTTAAGTTTTATTTATTTATTTGAAAGGCAGTTAGAGAAGCAGAGAGAGGTGTCCTCCTCCATCTGCTGGTTCACTCCCCAAATGGCTGCAATGGCTGGAGCTGGGCCAATCTGAAGCCAGGAGCCAGGAGCTTCTTCCAGGTCTCCCACACAGGTGCAGGGCCCAAGGACTTGGGCCATTTTCTGTGGCTTTTCTAGGCCATAGCAGAGGGCTGGATTGGAAGTGGAGCCATTGGGACTAGAACGAGCGCCCATGTGGGATGCTGGCGCTGCAGGCGGCAGCTCTACCCGCTGAGCCACAGTGCCGGCCCCCTTCTGTTGGATCTTTGTTCTGCTCATTGCTCAGCCTCTCGAGGTGTCCAGTCCTGTCCTTCCAGGTGGCCTCAGCGCCATTCCCATCCATCCGTGCTATTTCCACATCGACAGCTGTGCTTTCCTGAACACTTGTAAAATATGGATTTAATGTATTTATGCAACATAGTAACTCTACGGCTAGATTCTATTACAGTCACAATTTCATAGAAGGAACTGAGGTACCCAGACTATGTAACCTGCTCTAATTTCACAGCTAGCAAGTGGCAGAGTCAAGATTCCGACTCCAGTGGTTTGCAAGCTCTTAAGTTCTATGCTATACTTTATTGGTCTTTTGTCTCATGCACTTATTGAATCTGCATTTACAGGACTTCTGCCAAGTGCAGACAGTGAAGACAGGTTTAGCCTGCTGTTCACTAACACAGAAAAGCAAACAGATAATTGGCAATGGCTACATCCACTGAAGTTCACAGCCCTCGTCCGTCTGACAAGCCTTCATCCCTCTCTCCCATAAATATATGCAAGGTCATTTTTAAAATTTATAGCAAATGGAATTAAAAGACAAACTTATTCTAGTGCAAAAATTTTTTGAAATCCAAGCACAGTTTTTTCTTAACACTTGTTTCCCATGAACTTTTGGAAGATCCCTTGCAAAAAGGATTCTAAATATTTTTGCTCTCTGGGACCAAGCCATCTCTTTTCAAATAGCTGCCTCTCTTTTCACACTCAGCACCAGGCCCCCAAGGTGGCCCCACGGGGGTTCTGGTCCCTGCGGGTCTAGAGAGCAGCCGCTTTGCTCCGAGAGCCCGAGCCGCAGTGATCAGCCTGTCCCCCACATAGCCTTGCATGTGACAGTGCAAAGGGTCACCTGTGCCTCCCGTTCAGGGAGTTTCTGGCTCAGTAGGACCAGGGTGGGCCCCGGGAGTCTGCATTTCTGGCCAGCTCCCAAGAGATGCTGCTGCCAGCCCACAGGCCACAGCACACTTTGAGGAGCAAAGCCCTTGAGGGTTTGAGGCCCAGAAGAGGCAAGGGCAGACCAGATCTATGTACGTAAAATGTCCTTTGCACCAGGAACAAAGCACGCTTTTCCTTGGGAGCGCCAAGTGTGCAGCCTTCTCTGTCATGGGGCTCTACTGTGGAGCCCAGGAGGGAGCAGGGGCTGGCTGGGGACAGCGCTGCAGATTCTTCCCCCTGACCCCCGAGACGTCTCGTCTAAGCGCCGTTCTGTGCTTTAGCGGGTCCTGTGTGTCGCTTTGCTTCATTAGGAAAAGCTTGCCTCTCTCTGCAGGAAATGCCCAAGCCTTCTCGCCTCTCGCCGGCTCTCTGGGCTGGGTTTGGGCGTGTTTTTCTAGGGGTCGGTCTTCAGATGGGTCGCTTTCCCCATTGACCAGCCCTGGCCTCGGTGGTGGGCCGCCCATATTTCCTTTCCAGGGGCAGCTCAGTAAAACCCTGCTGGTTCCTCTCCAGAAACTTCTTCACACCACCTCAATATAATGAGTGACACGACGGATTCACTGCATATTTATTGGTGCAGGACTTTGGAGCCAGCTTTCACGTAAGAAGTGCTCGATACACAACCGTGGGATGGATGAGCAGGGCAATGCAGCGGGCACCGAGCAGAGGCAGTGCTTGCTAATGAGGGAATTATAATCAAAGGGGAAGGGATCCCGAGAGCCGCAGGGAACCCTGGGCAGATTTGCCGGCTCCCGCGGCACTCCTCCTGGAGGTTGGCCTCATTTCCCCTGCTCCAGGCAGTAAAGTAGCAAGGACTGGAGACTCCAGCGCCGCTCTCGGGTGCTCTCAGCTGCACCTGCGGGCATTTCCTCTCGGTCAGCCCCAAGCGTCCGTCACAGGATCTCGCTGGCTTGGTGTCTGAGCTGAGCGCCTGCTGTGATTTGCACCTGGCCCTCCGCTCTTCGGCCACCTCTTCCTTTCTGGCCCGAGTCCCTGCCCCGGTGTCTTCCCCCTAACCCCCGGGGAACGGTGACTGGGATTCTGGCTCCTTCTGGCGTGAACGCACGATCCGGCCCCACTGCCAGCCTTCGGCATTCCCACGCTGCTTCATCAGCTCAAGGGGCCTCCAGGGGATCACTCGCTCCTTATTAGAATGTGACTGGGGCCCATGCCTTACTCTCTGACCTGTTTGCCCATCCATTCTGCAAGGCACCTGTGGACCGGTTCTAAATGCTTACTATGGTTACGGTGAGGACATGAGAGGGAGAGCTGGGCTCTGCTGTGGGGAGAAACCCTGAGAATCTGAAGCAGGCTCCCGGAGGAGAGAGGGTGGACAGCAATGTTCCAGGCCTGGAGCCAGAACGAGGCACCAAGAGCCTGCTGACGAGGGTGAGAGTGACCATCGTGACTGAGTATGGCCAGTGCTGGGCACACGCTGCCTCACTTCGCCGCAGAGCCACCCTGCGTACGAGGCACTGCTAGGCTGATTCTGTGCGAGGACACAGGCAGTGCACAGATGCTGGGGGGGTGGTCTGAGACTGCCTCTAGGCACCCTACTTCTCCTGGACGTGGCCCTCCACACTCTACCATCACCTCCATTCTGGGTCCTCCCCCAGGGTTTTCTGGGATGGCCTTTGTTCCGATGAATCCAAAGGTCACATTGAGGTCAACTGTGCATGCTTTGGGTAGCTTTGTGAATGAAAAATGTGACACACAGCAGCTGTTTGGCACAGGAGTCAAGCCTCCTGTTGGGACACCTGCATCCCAGATCAGAGCGTCTGGGTTTGAGACCGGGCTCCGCTCCCGATTCCCGCTCTCTGCGGATGCGGACCCCGGAGTGCAGCAGGTGATGGTTCCTGCCACACGCGTGGGACACCCCGACCGAGTTATGCATCCCTGGCTTTAGCCTGGCTCAGTCCTCGCCACTATGGGCATTTGAGGAGTGACCTAGGGGGTGGGCGCTCTCTTCATCTCTCTGGCCCTCAAATAAAAAAACAAAAAATGGGGGCTGGCACCGTGGCTCACTTGGTTAATCCTCCACCTTGCGGTGCCGGCATCCCATATGGACGCAGGGTTCTAGTCTCGGCTGCTCCTCTTCCAGTCCCGCTCTCTGCTGTGGCCCAGGAGGGCAGTGGAAGATGGCCCAAGTGTTTGGACCCTGCACCCGTGTGGGAGACCAGGAAGAGGCACCTGGCTCCTGGCTTTGGATTGGCGCAGTGCCGGCCGTGGTGGCCATTTGGGGAGTGAACCAATGGAAGGAAGATCTCTCTCTCTGTCTCTCTGTCTCACTGTCTATAATTCTACCTGTAAAAAACAAAACAAAACAAAACAAAAAAAAAAACCAAAAAAACAAAAAACCCAAAACACACACACACAAAACAAAAAACAAAACAAAGAAAATCACCAAAAACCAAAAACACACAACGAATCTTGCATTCCTGATTCCTCACTGGTCAGAATGGCCAATAAAATCTCTGCGAACTTTGAGACCCCCACTGCCGAGCCCTGGGGATGTGGAGCTGGCCGGGAGTCACTGGGTCCGGCTGCCTGCACGAGCTGGCCGGGAGTCACTGGGTCCGGCTGCCTGCACACGCTCTGCACACGGCTGTGCTGGCTGTCGGGGCTGCTTCCGGCCTTCCCCGGCAGCGTTCTGACACGCTTGCTGGGCAGAGAGGGAAAAAGAATGCCTGTAGCACCACCCACTGGTCCACCGTGAGTTGACACCTGTAAGATGCGGGTAGAGGCTCGCAGAGTGGAAAAAGCCAGCCAGTGGGGCCTAGACTTGGCCTAAACTTTCTGGATCCTGTCAGTGGGATGGCCATCTGCCCACCTGGAAGGACCAGCCGCCCTGGGATCCTCCTCCACGCTTCCTGTGTGCCCTCCGTGCCGCACCTGACATTCCTATTGGTCGTTTCTTCTCCTAGGGTTGATAGCGCAACTTTCTCCTCCCCTTTTCCCTCAGCCCCACCCTCAACCTGACTGCCATCTCCCAACAAGTTTTCCTGCCCCTGCCTCTGTCCCCACCAGTCTCTCCACCCTGCCAACTGAGTTCACCTCTTTAAACAAAGATAACACCCTACCTACTTTAGAAATCTGGCGTGGTGCCGGTGTATGGGGCAAACTATGTATCTTGGCATGGTCCGGAGGATCCTTTACAACTTGTCCCTCAGCCACCAACATCCTGGGGCTCCTCCTCCATGCCCCCCATGCTCTGTGAAACACTATGGGGCCTCTGGGCCCTCAGCCCCTGCAGGCCTCACTCTCCTCTGCCGGTTCTCAGGCTGCCCCGCTGCCCTGTAGTTCTCACCCTTGAGCCCAGCTCACTTGCCACTTCCCTCGGAACCCTTTCCTGGGTCCCCACGGCCCAGCGGAGCCCCGCTTCCCCCAGGAGCCCGCTGCATCAGCTGGAGCAGCCATTGCTCGTGTCCGGCCCACGCGCCCCCGTGATGAGCTGGCTGAGGGCAGGGACACTCTCACACTCGTCTGGAACGCTCCGTGGCTCAGAGTGCTGTGTAAGACGCACGCTTGTAAAATGTGGACTGAATGAATACAATGCGTGTCCTACGGGTCTGTGTCACAACCCCTCCTGCGCCTGTGTCTGCAGCGTGCTCGGGAATGCCACGGGGAGGCCCCGGCTCCTACCTGAATACACACATGACACCGTGGCCTCATTCCCGTGGTGCTTTCCTAATGAGCTCTTCTCAGGTGCCGTGGCTACCCCGGCCGGCTTTGGCCCTCTCGGCTGGAAGCGCCGGGGCCCTGCTCCCCATGCACACGGCTCCAGCTAGCCCTGGGCCCCCAGCAGGGGGTCTGCAATCAGTGGTGCTGTCCCCTTCCCCACACCTCCGGGCCACAGGCACCCCCAGTCCATGCTGTGAGGGGTCTCACAGATTTCCACCTGGGTTCTTGATAACCCCTTGCATGGAAAAAGGCAACAGTGTTTTGAGCAGCCCTGTGCAGCCGGCTAGCGCCCAGAGCTTACAGTGGCATGTTACCTCCAGTAACGGTGAGCCTGGTGTTTCCTCCCAGCTGTACAGACAAGGAAGTGGCTCCTGGATAAGTTAAGGGCCCTAAGCCAGGCCTCCTGGTCACTGAGCGGCTGAGGCAGGATAGAGCCGGCATCTTCTCCATCTACACCCTGGGTGGGAATACAGCCCCCAGCCCAGGTGTGCCTGCATGGGCCCTGCCACCTGGCATGGCCCTGGCCCAGCCCCTCTCCTTCAACTTTTAAGATCAAAGGAGGAAACCATTTGTATCAGCCAGAACGGTGGTTTTGAACTTTTTTTTTTAATATTTCTACTTTTTGCAAACAAAGTCTTACACAGAGCCCCACTGTGATCAGCCCTTGGCTGGAGAGGCGGGAACCAGAGCGCTGTCCCCGGGGAGCCCTCCCAGCTCCCGAGGTTGTCTGAGTCACTCCTCTGGATCCAGGAGACCCCACCACAGCGCTGCTGCACAACATGCTTGGCCAGGATCTCCCCCTGCCCCCCAGCCAGCCATTGGCGAGCAGCAGGGCTGAGCAGGATCCTATGGGGGGCTTCTCTGATCCCTTACCACAGCCTGGCCCAGCACCCTCTTGGGTGTGGGGGACCCGAGTCCCCGATGCCCACTCCAAGCAGCCTCATGTGGCTGCCTGCACCCTCCGGCCAGCCTGCGGTCCTCAGTGCCTCCTCCTAGGACTGACATTTGCTTTTGGGTCTCTGCTTGGCATGTGGGGGGAGGCACCCAGTCCCTGAGGGACCCCTCAGGCCGCTCTGGTGGCAGAGCACAGATGACAGACAGCTCAGCCGTGTCCCCAGCTGGCACCTGCTCTTGCTGTCACCCTACTCCGTGCCCAGCTCGCTGCAGCCCAGAGGTCGTAGGGACTCGTCGTGATCCAGGCATCTGAGCCCCTCAGCAAAGGCTGTCTGGGAGCTGGGGGGGGGGGGGCTAAAAGGAAGCCACCCGCTGGGTCTGCTCCTCTCTCTCAGCCTCCGGTGGCTTCCACGGCTCGGGCGCAGGGCAGTGAGGTGACGGAGTGGACTGCTAGCAGGCAGGGCACCAGAGCAGTCACGCCTGGGTTTGACTGGAATGGCGGTGTGCTCGGCCCAGCTGCCTGCGGACCGGACCAGCCAAGCCGGGAGCCGGCTTGTTTCAAGCTGATTGCAATCTGTCCCCATTCCGGTACTGTAATTGTGGCATTAAAGAAATGTAAGTATAAAAATGTACTTGCCTTATAAACACAGTTCCGATGCTCTCTTTTGATATGAATTCCCATTCACTGCCTCAGACAGCACTGACTCCCAGACAGACATGCGCTGGGAGGATCCCGGCCCGGCGGAGGCGGTGACGGGTCAGGTGATGACGCAGGGTCCTGGGGGTGGGCTGCGGGGGGCTCACTAAGTCAGAGGGAGGCTGACTCAGGCTGGGTGTGGTTAGCTTGGGCCCCAGAACAGAAGGGTAGGGACCTGAGGCACCCGGCAAGCCAGATGAAGAAGGTGGAGACAGGCGCGCCCCAACAGGCGTGGAGAGCAGAATAAAAGGCAGAAAAACAGAGTGAGAGGAGCTGGGACGCAGCAGAGGAGGGAGCGGGTGATTGGGGGCATTAAAGGCCATGGATGGGGTCCCCAGGGGCCAGGGGCAGACGGGACACAGGTGGGGCAGAGAAAGGAACACAGGAGCCTGAAGTGAGGGGGTGCTGGTGGGCTGGGGGTGGCCACAGGGATACCTAGAACACCTCTTTGGTGGGGCCGGCGCTGTGGTGTAGTGGGTAAAGCCCCTGCCTGTGATGCCAGCACCCCATCCAGGCACTGGTTTATGTCTTGGATGCTCCACTTCCCATCCAGCTCTCTACTGTGGCCTGGGAAAGCAGCAGAAGATAGCCCAAGTGCTTGGTTTACTGCACCCGGGTGGGAGACCCGGAGGAAGCTCCTGGCTCCTGGCTGAGGCCCGGCCCAACCCTGGCCATTGCGGCCATTGAGGGAGTGAACCAGCGGATGGAAGATCTGTCTCTGTCTTTCTCTGTAACTTTGACTTTCAAATAAATAAATCTTAAAAAACAAAGGAAACCTCTTTGGTGGGGGTGGGAACCTCAGCATGACCACAGCCAGGACAAGTTCGGGGGTGGTGGTGGGGAAGCCCTGGGTCCCGGGGAGTGGCAGGCCGGCGGACACCTGCGAGCCGTGAGGATGGCCCGGAGAGCAGAGGCGCATGCGCAGTACCTGCATGATGCGCACGTAGTCGGTGCGGTGCAGTTCCTTCTCCTTGACCACCTTCTTCTTGACGGTGGTCAGGCTCTTCTCCAGGTGCTCCCGCTGACGGGCGTACTCCTGCTGCAGGTCTGTGTTCAGCCCCGCGATCTCCACCTGACGGGGCAAGGGCTCTCCGTGAGGGCGGGGCGGGGCCGAGGGGGCTCTCCGTGAGGGCGGCCAGGCGTGGGCAGGCAGCGGGCAGCTTGAGCTCACCATGTCTGCCCGCTGCACGTACTTCTCAAAGAGGGCGCGGACCTTCTCCTTCAGCAACCGGGGCTCCTGGATGAAGGCCACGCAGTTGTGAAGGTCCGTCTTAAACCGTTTGACCAGCGCCTCCAAGTCCCGCTCCTGCAATCACAGTCAGTCACTGCTGGCGCCGGCTGCTCCCTATCCAGGTTGGAGGCGCAGCGGCTGCAGCCAGAGGCTAATGGCATAGAAAGGGACAAGGGATGCCTCGTCTGGACCGCTGGGCCCAGTGGGCGAGGTCCTGAGACCTTTGAGCACCGCCTGGGAGGGGCACCTCATCCTTGGGAGGCCACACGTGGCTTCCTCTGCTGGCCCTGGCTTCCCTTAGGACCGAGGGCCTTATGAGGTGACAAGCAGCACACATGGCCACCCAGGTTCCTTTGGAGCCAGGATATGTGGTTTCATTGGTACCATTTTTCTGGGGCAGATCCCTGGCCAGGGCTGCCATGCCCTCATCAGCTCCTGCAGCGCTGCTGTGAGTGGGTGGTGAGCCGCCCACGCCCCCAGTCAGGAAGACAGGTTCGTCCGCACCCTTTGGCTGGATCCCCTTGTTTAACCATGCTTTGACGCCTGCACCCAGCACCCTGAGCAAGGGAGGGTCTCTCCTGTCTCTGCACTCCCCCGGCCCTTTATCCACATTCTGTATTTTCTGCCTTGAATTCCAATGATTATGGATGTGCCACAAAACACCATCAGCCTCTTCAGCAGGGAAGGCTGGGGTCCCTAGCAGTTTCTGCTGGGAGCGCTGCAGTTTCTAGCTAGCATGACCCAGGGCCGAGTCGGTGCTTAGCGTGGAGGCAGACAGCATTCACCCAGATTCAATTACGGGGTCACCTGCGATGCAGGAAGTGGGTGCAACCACGTCCTGGCCCTGGCCAGGCGGCCTCACTCCCAGTACTGGCTCTGTAGATGCTAACTAGCTATGGGTATTGGTGAACCGCCTTAACCTCCTAATGGCTCTGGCCTTACTTTCCTGATTCACGATACAGACTGGGATGGATGATTTGTGAGGGTCTCCTAGCCTTGAGCCACTGACCACAAATGATCACTCTGTGCATGTCCTTTCCTGGGCTGGGTAGGACCTAGGCTACGCGTGTCCCTGTGAGTAGTTCCTTCCACCCCCTTGTCCGTCTGACCCAAAGCCACTTTGTAGTTTCACGTGGGTTCAGCCTTGGAAATTTGCACAAGCAGCGCTGTGAGCCAGGGAAGACTGTGAGTTAAAGTGGGAACATCTCTCAGCCGTGGGCTGGCTCTGTTTCTGAGAAGCCAGCTGTCCCTGCTCTCGACTCCCAGAGCTGCCAGACTTGGAAGATGCTCACACCTTCTGCCTCTCCCTGCGCATCTCCTGGTCCGTGGCTCTTAGCTTCTGCCACAGTTCCGTGATGTTCAGCTCCAGCTGTGTGTTCTGCTTGTGGAAATGCTCCAGCTCGGCTTCCATCTACAGCGGGCAAGGGGGAGAAAGAGTCAAGTTCAAGAGGAAGAGAATGCAGATGACGTCCGAGAGCTTTAGCCTGAATTTCAGAGGGAACATTTCCCCCGAGCCCAGCGCACTGCCTTCCTCTGGACTGAAGCCTTTCCTGTTGCCCTCGCCCCCAGGGCAGGTGTTTGGTGCAGTGGTTACGGCACCACTTGGATGTCTGCAGCCCACACCGGAGGGCCTGGGTTTGAGTCCTGGCTCCCTTTCCATCCAGCTTCCTGCTAATGCACAGTGATGGCTCAAGTACTTGGTTCCTGCCACTCACATGGGAGACTGGGATTGAGTTCAACTTTTGGCTTTCGCCTGGTTCAGCCCTGGCTGTTGTGGGCATTTGGGGGAGTGAATTAGTGAACAGAAGATCTCTTTCCATCTCTTTCTGTATCTCTCTCTCTGCTTTTCAAATAAATGAAAATTTAAAAAAAAAATCCTTCCTCCTCACACCACAACTGACTCACGTGTTAATCCATGATGAGCTGTTTCCATGACCAGGGTGGGAAACTTTCCTTCTTAGCCACCTCTCCCTTTCCTTCAACCATGCTGCTTACTTTTTTTAAATTAAGTTTTTTTATTATCTTCATTTTATTTGAAAGGCAGAAAGACAGAGAGACAGAGACAGATAACGATCTTCCATTCACTGGGTCACTCCCCAAAATGGTCACAACCACCAGGGCTGGAACAGGCTGAAACCAGCAGTCTGGATCTCAGTCTGGGTCTCCTACATGGGCGGTAGAGATCTATGAATTTGAGCCGTTATCTGCTGCCTCCCAGGGTGCACATTAGCAGGAAGCTGGCATCAGAAGCAGAGCTGGGTCTGAAACCCAGGTACTCTAAGAAGGAATGTGGGCATCCCACGGGGCATCTTAGCCATTGTGTCAAACACTGGCCCCTGCTGCATCTGTATTAACCGAAGATATGTGACCAATCAGGAGAGGTCTGCCTGTGAGCTTCCAGTAGACCCAATTCCTGTCCAAAGCAAAGGAGTGACATTTCTTTTCCACACTAACTATGGCGGACACTAGCGTTCTTGGTAGGAGGGAGGTGTGCTATTTTGGGGGAATGGGGCAGTTCACTGTGTCTTTCTACAGCTGGGTGGAGCAACCCCTTTTAATCTACCCCAGGCCCTTTGGTCAGATTTCAGGGGTCTTGGCAACTTCCTGGGGTACCAGGAGGCCCTAATGAGCCACATCCATCTTCTGGATACGATGGGGCAGCTTCTAGAAGCACACTGTCCTCATTATTGGAAGCACATTGTTGGAATGGCCCTTGGACATGATGCCTGGCCTAAAAACAGCACTCAGCATGGACCTGATGAGCGAATGAATAAACAGTGAGCGTAGGGGGCAAAGGGATCAGCAGCAAGGATGAGGAGGGGCTGAGGCAGCCTGCCTCTGGGAGAGAAAGACGGACAGGCAGTGGTGGTGGAGCTGGGTACAGTGGCAGAGCACACACAGCGAGCAGGGGTGTTTGTGGCTAAAGAAAGAATGCACCCATGAGACAGGGCTTCCAGCTGTCACAGGTGCAGGGGCTGACACTGAAGGAGAGGGGGCTTGTATCCTCAAGAAGCCTCAGGTCTAGGAGCAAAGAGAAGTCAGAAGTTAAGGTGGCCCAAGAGAAACACTGACTGCGGTGCCTCCGTGTGTGTACGCAAGGAGGTGAGCAGGTGGCACCCCGAGAAGGGATGCTGCAGTTAGGCTCCTTAGGAGGAGTAAGTACTGGAGGACGAGAGGGACAGGGCCCTGTAGGCAGGGAGAACACAGACAGGGCCAGGGGCGTGGGCAGCCGGGGTATCTCTGCCGGCTCCCTGGCTGCAGGGTGTGCTGAGGACAGAAGGAGTGGAGGGGCTGGACAGGTCAGCTGAGCTGCATCCCACAGGACACAGGGCGGACGGGTGGGAGATTTGGCCTTGGGCCTGAGAGCAAGCTTAGAGTCCTGAGGGGTTTGGGAGAGTGGAGTGATCTGATTTGCCTCTCAGAGAGCCTGATGCAGAGGGAGCCAGGCAGACCAGTGAGGAGGCTGCCGCTGTGGCCCGAGTGAGCGCTGGTCCTGCTGAGACAGGAAATGGCAGCTGCAAGATGGAAGAGGGGTTTCTCCAGGCTGCAGGGCGCCTGAGTACTTGCAGCTGGCTGTGCCCCTTTCTCTGGCTTTGCTAAAGTCAACAGGGGCAGATTGGGTCAGGATGGAAGAGATACAGGAGTCTCTTCTTCATTTTTGCTCTGTTTTATTTTATTTTTCGGTAAAGCCTCAAATTACTCTGAGAATAATAATAATAATCTGTTTTAAGGGTGCAAGCTGCTGCCTGTGATGCTGGCATTCCATATGAGCTCTGGTTCCAGTCCCAGCTACTCCGCTTCTGATTCAGCCCCTTGCCAATGTGCCTGGGAAAGCAGCTGAAGGTGGCTCCAATACTTGGGCACCTGCACACACGTAGGAGACCTGGATGGAGTTCCAGGCTCCCAGCTGTGGCCTGACCCAGCCTTGGCTGATGCGGCTATTTTGGGAGTGAACTAGTGGATGGATGGAAGATATCTCCCTCTCTCTCTCTAACTCTGACTTTCAAATAAATACATAAATCTTTTTAAAAAGAATAATGTATTTTATGGAAAACTTAGGAAACGTATCAAACGTTAAGTGGCTAGCTGCACAGCCAGATCCCTTCCCCGGGTGGGGAGTCTGCTTCCTTTCCACGTGGTTTTCGTCACACTCAGGGATTCTCAGTGGGCCTGGGGTAGGGAGGATGAAGGTATTTGACCCTGCAGGGGGACAGCTGGCAATGTCTGGAGACATTTGGTTGCAACGGACCTCAGGGTGTGCTCCCAGCATCCAGCGGGCAGAGCTGGGGAGACTCACAGGACCGACCCCCACAACAGAGAACTGCCCCCTGCAAATGTTACTCGTGCTGAGGCTGAGAAACGTGTTGGATGGAAACAGTGGTGGAACCTGAAGCAACGGTGTCCAGAAACCTCTCCTTGGGGAGGAGTCTTCGGAGGGCAGCTGGGGAAGGGCAGGAGGGGAGGTTCCTACATCTCTGCCTTGCAAGTGAGCCGGGCCTTGAAGCATCCTTCCTGTAGGACAAGGAGCTTCACAGAAGGTCCACAGAGGGGGCTGCCCGTGCCTCTGACCCCAGGGGGAAGCCCCAAGGTCAGAGGCCCCTGGAAGGAACCAGGTCTGGGAGCAACTGGCACCGGGGATGGGAGTAGGAGGGCTCTGTGTGCATCACCCCGAGATGCGGGCATTGTCCCTGCTGGCTCCTGTTATTGCTGGGGTAACACGGGTGTTAGGGAAAGTCAGCTCAGTTTCAGGAAACGACTGGCCCAGCCTTAATCCCAATCACAAATGTCAAACGAGGAGGCAACAATAGGGCTGTGATTTCCAGGGGCCTGTGCACAAGGACCTTCCAGATGGGTGTGGCCTCTGCTTTTCTCATCTTCTTGGGGCTTCTCTCACCTTTCTGGGCTACTACCATAGTCTCAGTGTATGTGTCCCCCCAGAGCCCCTTAGGTGATGCTATCAACAGGTGGAAATTTTGGGAAGGAGGTCATGAAGGCAGCACGCTTATCAGTGGGATCAGTGTCCTAATTCAAGAGGTGGAGGGAGCCTGTCAGCCCACCCTTTTGACCTCCACCACGTGAGCACACATGGCAGGCACTGTCTGTGAGGTGTGGGACCTCACCAGATACCAAAGCTGCTGCCACCTTGATGCTGAACCTGCCAGCCTCCAGAGCTGTGAGCCACACACTTGTGCTGTACGTAAGCTACTCAGTCTAAGGTGTTTTGTTATAGCAGCCCAAGGGACCAAGACAGCTGTGGCAAATGCGGCTATCCTGCCAAGCGCCAGAGTCCTGATGTTGCTCAAGATGGCAGGAGACCCAGAGCAGGCAGTTCTGTGTTAGCTGGGGGCGCCCTTCCTCACTGCAGAATCGAGGGAGAAAGTCACTGTTGCGGGGACATAGCTTCACCACACTCCCCAGCCCTGTGCTGACCCCCATCTGCCTCCTATAGCAAAGGCTTCCCCGGCAGACCGGCACCTCCCAGCTCAAGGGCATCCAATTCTAGCTGGGTCATGGGCGCTGAAGTCCTTGTACCTGCTATCCTTACTCAGCACCAACATTCAAAGAACAAGGAGTGAAGAGAAGAAGCCTACTTTGCCTGAGGTCGGAGGTCAGAGAAGGCTTCCTTGAAGAGGTGACAGGTAAGCAGGGCTCTGGAAGGTGCAGAGAAGCCAGGCATGTGCCTTCTGGGGAAAGGGCCTTCCAGGCAGCCAGGGCAGCACCCAGAGGTGCAGTGAGCCGGCAGCTGCAGCTGGGGCTTTGAGATGAGGCTGCAGAGGCAGGTAGAGGCCGGAGCACGCAGGGCCTTGTGGGCCTCGGCAGGGACTCTGGATTTTGCTCTAGGTGGGATGGGACATCATTGGGGCATTCACGCTGGCCTCTCTGTGAACAGACTAGAGGCTGGAGTCAAGTGCAGATGGGAGACGGTGGGGGCAAGGCTGGTGATAGCAGCAGAGGGGCGTGGGATTTGAGGCACCTTTTGGAAACTGGTCAGACAGGTGTTGGTCAAGATGTGGACACTGGACACAGGGATTAAGTGAAGAATCAGAAAGGCTTCTCCATTTCTCCTTTCAGATCGACTGTGCCCCCCACCCCACCCCATCAGCTGCTTTCTGCCCAGTGAGGAGAGGCTGATGGGGGAGCACTCTGCAAGGAGGAGAGGCAGTGTGTTTGGGACACAGGGGACAAACGGGGAACACTGGTACCTCACCAGACTCTCAGGGACCCCTGTTCAATTGACCTTGCTTCTCTTCTCTCTCCTCTCTGCCCTCGTCCTGTTACGGCCCAGAACAGGCCCAGGACATACTCTCAATGGTGCCACCGGCCTGCTTGGGAGCCTCAGGTGCCTTCTCATTCCTTACCAGATGAAGTCCAAGCCCCAAGGCCTTGCTCGGGGCCCCAGCCAACATTCCAGGCGGGAAACATGGCTGAACAGAGTCCTGCGCTTTGTGGCAACAGCCTGGGGGCTGAGTGCACGCCACTGCAGCTCCTTTCTAAGGGGCCCTGCACCCCAAACCCTGAGGCACAGGGAGGGCCAAAGCCCATCCTGGCCTTCAGGGAGTGAAATTCCACAGCATTCTGCTTTTGGACAACCGGGGCCCGGGCTGGCCTTCTGTGCAGCACTGAGTCGAGGCCCCACGCACCGTGGGAGTGGCAGAGTGGGGCTCTGAGGGGAGCTTGCTTTCATTCCCCTCTGGTCAAACAGGAATCCTGCAGGAGGACAGAGAGGGTCTAGAGGGCCCAGGGTTGCGCACGGTCTCACCTCCTGAATCTGTTCCTTCATCACCTTGATCTCGTTTTCTCGAGGTTCTATTTGTTTCTTCAGCTCCTTTATTTTATAGTCGAGCACAAACTTGAATTTCTCTAGTTCTTGGTTTTTCTTTTTCATGTCATAGATTCGCTTCTCCTGGGGGTGAGATGAGGGAGAGGAGAGAGAGTGTTCACAAGGCCCTGGGGTGCGGAACCCCGTGACTCGGGATGGGGACTCGCGCCAGGGAGACGAAGGCTGTCTCTCCCTGCTGGGCTGTGGCTGACCCCTTAGCTTCCGTATCAGACCTTCACTCATGCACTCATTCACAGACAGGTTGTGGGCAACTGCGTTCTCCAAACATGGCCTCAACAGCATCTCCCGCCCCGCCCGGCAGCTCCTCTGCTATGCGGCCGTGGCTTCTTCTCCAGGAGGCAGGTTTAATTCTCTTCCTTGCTTCTGGAGGGATGCTGGGTGACTTTGGAGGCTAGGACAGAAAAGCCAGGCAGCTTCCACCTGGTTCGCCTGTGCCGCGTGCTCCGGGGAAGGCATTCTCTGTGTAGGTGTGTCACTCCACGGAGATCTCCAGGTGGGAGAAGGCGTTAGGGGTCTGGTCAAAAGACTCAGCAGAGCCCAGCCTCTTGGCCAGCCCTGGCGAGGTGCTGGGCATGGAGAAGCAGCAGCACCTTGGATGCTGATCTCCCAGCCCCCAGCTATTTAAGCCACACCCAGTGGAGGCTCTGGACACTGCGGGCAGAGCCGAGACATGGTTACATCCTGTCCACACTCCAGGCCAGAGTGTACGAGCATGACGCTCTAGCTGCTGCTGTCCATCGCTAAGATTTGAGGTGATCTGACGCATGGCAGTAGTGACTAGAACACAGGCTTCTCCAAACACTGAATGTGTACACATGTACTGAATGAAGATCTTGGGCCACGTGTTGCTTTCCAGATGTAAATGTGACACATCCCTTGCCCTTAAGCTGGAAATACTAGCTTGGAAAGCAGCTTAAAATGTGGTAAGTGGTGTAAAAGAGGAAGGCATGGGAGGCATAGTAGGCACGAAGGGTGCTGGCACAGCTTGCAGGGTGTCCAGTAGGGACTCGTGGGGGAGTGGACAGTGAGGCTGGGGGAAGGAGGAGAGGAAGGCAAGGGCCTTGCATCTCGGGTTGAGGAGTTCAGAATTCACCCCGCGGGCCAGCTTGCGAGGGTGTGCTGGAACCCAGCCCGGTGCTGTTTGTTTTGTTTATGGGTGGGTTCCCCTATGGCTGCAGAGTTGATCTGCTGACGCAGAGACTGACTGGCCTGTGAAGCCTCCGAGCAGCCCCATCGAGCTCTTTACGGCAGACGTTGCTGACCCCTGAAGCGGGCAGCGCGGAGCTGCAGGAAGATTGTGACACAAGCACGCTTACCCTCTGGCGGCCATGATGGCAGGGCTGGAGGCGGAGGCCTTCAGCCTGGTTAGTCAGCTGCACTCCTACATCAGGAGGCTGTCGGTTTTTCTCGTCAAAATCCCCCCGGAGAATCTGAAGAGAGCTTTAGATCCCCACCTCCATCCAAACAAAACATGAGAACATGCAGGAGTGACATCCAGGAACGGTCCCGTGCACGCCTTGAGAGCTGGCATCCCATTTCACAGGGGAGAAAATGAAGGCTTCACGAAGCTGGTAAACGGAGGGCCTGTGCTGGACCCCACACGCTGTGCTGAAGTCCATGCTCTCAACGATGAGGGACCCTGCCTGGCTCAGGCAGCAGAGGCAGGGGATGGATGAGGAGGGTACAGAGTTGGCAACACTCGATTCTGACGTGGAGCTGGCGGCTCCTGTAAAATGCAGTCTGTCTTCTGAGAGTTCTGTGTGGAAGGCACTCTGGAAAGTGGTAGCAGCTGGCCGGGGCACGCGGCAGACATGGGGTGGGCCCAGCGCAGTCTTTCTTTGATCAGCAGGGCCATGTGGACAATGTGGCGGGTGATCGATCAGTTCACAGTCCATGGAGACCTATGGCCCTAGCCTGCTTACAGCAAGGCGGGGAGGGAGGGAGGGGCCTTGGAGCCAGCTGACTCAGCTTCTCATCCTGTCTGTCTCCTGTAGACTCCTAACGCTGGGTCGCTCATGTTCCCCGGGCTTGCTGATAGAACTGAATGAGACATGTTGACAGTACCTCGCCCAGGGCCAAGTATAGGTAGGCGCTTCATCGATAGCTCGGCCCCATCAAGTTAAACAGATGTGTCTCAGGGAGCCAGGGACCCTCCCCCTCTCTCCTGAGCTCCGTCCCCACTGCCCGAGTCCACTCACCTTGTCCTGAATTGTCTCATCGCGCTCCTGGATCTCCCGCTTGTGGCCTTGGATGTCCTTCTCCAGGGACTTAATGACTCCCTGCAGCTTCACCTGCTCCCCCTTCAGGACGTCAATGTCATTGGTTCTCTCCTCGATGTCCTTCTGCAGGCTGCTGAACTAAACACACAGGTGGCAACCACGAAGGCCACTGAAGGTTCTGAGCTCGTCTCCACTCCTCCCAACTGTCCCGGTGGAAAGAGCTCCCCAGCGTTGACCAGCTGGGGTCAGAACTGGGGCACCTGCTAGGCGAACACCTAGCACTCAGCATTTCTGGGCTTTCAGGAGTGACGCTTGGAGGCTCAGGGACAGTTTAGGAACTTCCCAGGCCAAATGGACGACGCGGTAGCCTGTCCACAACGCACAGGCCCATTCCCAATACGTGAGGAAGAGGCCCCAGGATCAGTCCCCGGGGTGGACCCAAAGTCTTCTGCGATCACATGGACCTTGAAAGGTTGGGATCCATGTCCCATCGAGGTCACAGAGACTGGGATCTAACTGATGAGCCATCTCAGCCATGTTCACAAGCGGAAGATACAACTGCTTCCTGGATCTACCAGTACTGGGATTAAAAAAAAAATTTTCTTTGAGGGGCCTGCACTGTGGTGTAGCGCGTAAAGTCACCGCCTGCAGTGCTGGCATCCCATATGGGTGCTGGTTTGATTCCAGGCTGCTCCACTTTCCAGCCAGCTCTCTGCTATGGCCTGGGAAAGCAGTAGAAGATGGCCCAAGTGCTTGGGCCCCTGCACCCACACAGGAGACTCGGAAGAAGCTCCTGGCTTTGGATCATCACAGCTCCAGCCATTACGTCCATCTAGGGAGTGAACCAGCAGATGAAAGACCTCTTTCTCTTTCTGTCTCTGCCTCTCTGTAACTCTGCCTTTCAAATAAATAAATAAATCCTTAAAAAAATTTGAGGGGCTGGCGCCAAGGTGCAGTAGGTTAATCCTCCGCCTGTGGCGCCAGCATCCCATATGGGCACTGGTTCTAGTCCTGGCTGTTCCTCTTTCTTTCTTTTTTTTTTTTTTTTGACAGGTAGAGTGGACAGTGAGAGAGAGAGACAGAGAGAAAGGTCTTCCTTTTTGCCGTTGGTTCACCCTCCAATGGCCGCTGCGGCCAGCGCACTGCGGTCGGCGCACCACGCTGATCCGATGGCAGGAGCCAGGTACTTATCCTGGTCTCCCATGGGGTGCAGGGCCCAAGTACTTGGGCCATCCTCCACTGCACTCCCTGGCCACAGCAGAGAGCTGGCCTGGAAGGGGGGCAACCGGGACAGAATCCGGTGCTTCAACCGGGACTAGAACCCGGTGTGCTGGCGCCCCAAGGCGGAGGATTAGCCTAGTGAGCCGTGGCGCTGGCCCGTTCCTCTTTCAATCTAGCTCTCTGCTGTAGCCTGGGAAAGCAGTAGAAGATGGTCCAAGTCCTTGGGTCCCTGCAACCACGTGGGAAACCCAGAGGAGGCTCCTGGCTCCTGGCTTCCGATTGGCACAATTCCGGCCATTGTAGCCATTTGGGGCGTGAACCAATGGAAGGAAGACCTCTCTCTCTGTCTCTTCCTCTCACTGTCTGTAACTCTACCTCTCAAATAAATTAAAAAAAAAATCTTAAAAAATTTTATTTGAAAGGCAAAGTTACAGAGAGAGAAGGAAAGAGAAAGAGAGAGAGAGAGGGAAATTCCATCTGTTGGTTCACTCTCTGGTTGGCCACAACAACCGGATCTGGGCCAGGCGCAAACCAAAAGCCAGGATCTTCTTCCAGGTCTCCCATGTGAGTGTGGGGGCCCAAGCATTGGGCCATTCTCTGTTGCTTTCCCAGGCCATAGCAGAGAGCTGGATTGGAAGTGGAGCAGCTGGGACTTGAACCAGTGCCATATTGGATGCCAGCACTGCAGACGGTGGCTTAACCTGCTGCACCACAGTGCTGGCCGCAGTAACATGATTTCTAACAGGAAAGAATGGGAGCTTGTTTTGAGCTTGGCTCCCTCAGGGCTAAATGTTTTGGAAGGCTGTGTGGCAATTCTGTAAGGATCTGTGAACTGAATCCTCCATCATCCCAACAATCGGTGAACTAAATATCTGTTTCCCCACCCCTAAACAAAGCATCTTACAGCCCATTCCCTCTCCCACCTGCTGGGTCTGACTGGAATCACCCATGAGAGCCCAAGGACACCTCCAGGCTGAGAATCTCAGAGGTTTAGCTCTGAAAATGTGATTACGTCCACTTGCTGATAAGCAGGAGCCCAGAGGGCAACTCTTGGTGCCCAGGGAACCGCAATATCCCTTGGAAAGGAAAGGGAGGGGGACCCCCCCCCCCCAGGCAGCAGCCCCCTCAGAGCATGCATAGGGGTCTGTGTGCCTGGGTGTGCAGTGGCCAGGGCCCTCGCCTGCCCTGCTCGCTGGGGATGAGAAAGCGCTTGGCTCCCAGGGCCCCCTGGCTGCTGCTCCCAGCTTTCTCTGCGCCCCACCCCGCCCGTCCCGCTGCACCGTGCCGCAGGTCTGGGGAGCGCGCTACCTTCTTCCTCATGATGCCTGTCTCCCCTTTGAGGCGCAGATTGGATTCCTTTTCATCCCGCAGCTTCTTCTCATACTTGGTTTTGATATCTTGGATTTCTCGGTCTTCGTCTTCTTCAATTTGCTTCTTGGTCTCCTCAAACTCCCGCAGCTGCTGCCTGACGTCTTCCTGTGCCTGGCTCAGAGAGAGGGAGAGAGTGTGCTCGGGGGACAGGGGCTCGTGACGCCTCTGCGCTAAGACGCGCCGGGGTGAGACGAGCTTCCAAGCCCTATCGGGAATGGGAGACGAGTGTTACTACCGCAGGGGCGGACACCAAGGCCAGGGACTCCTTAACCCGTGCGCTCACTTCCCATGGGTCCTCCGTCTGTCTTCCTGTGTCCCCTTCCCCCTAGCAGGTCAGAGGCTCCGTCACTCCAACCACCTTCCCACCAATACCCCACACCCGGCTCTGCCGCTGCTGTCCGCGTGGACACCTGGGCTTCCTCCGTTCTTCCTTGACAGAGCTGTGACAGCCGTAACGTGAGGCTACGTGGCTGTCTCTCCCACTAGGCATAGAAGCTGGTCTCTCACGGCCACCACTGAGGTCCCAGCGGACAGCACGTCTCCCACACGGCAGCTACTTAGTGAGCGTCTGGGTGACCGCATCCGCAGTCGGCTCCTTCTCTGGGGAAAGAGGGTCAGCGTGGCTTCCTGGGGGTACCTCTTCCAGAAGAGTGGTTTTCTCTTGCAGTTTGGCCTCGTAAAACTCAGTCAGCTCCTCCAGGGCCTGGCTCTTGGTCTCGTCGTTGTCCCGAAGCTGTTTCTCATACTCCTCCTGCATCCTCTGGGACTTGAGCTGCAGCTCCTGGTACTTCTCATACTCGAGTAGCAACTTCTGGTTGTTGGAACTTTCTGGAGAGAAGCGAGGAGGGCAGCTCTTTCAGGTGGGTGAGCAGCACGAGCCTCGCGAACACCCAGGGGTCTTGGGGGTCTCCCTACCCCTCCCAGTGCTAGTCAGAGAAGCAGCCATCGGAGCCAAGACTCAAAAGCCCACCTGCCTTCCTCACCTCCTGCCACTCCATCATCTCATCAGGCAGTGAAGCCCCTCCCCCTCCAGGAACAAGGGTTTCTTTCTTTCCCTCCCTCCCTCCTTCCTTCCCTACTTCCCTTCCTCCCTCCTTCCCTTCTTTCCCTCCCTCCCGATTTATTTATTTGAAAGTCAGAGTTACACGCAGAGAGAGGCAGAGAGAGAGGTCTTTCAGCCTCTGGTTCACTCCCCAAATGGCCATGATGATCAGAGCTGCACTAATTTGAAGCCAGAAGCCAGGAGCTTCTTTCAGGTCTCCCATGTGAGTGTGGGTGCCCAAGCACTTGGGCCATTCTCTGTTGCTTTCCCAGGCCACAGCAGAGAGTTGGATCAGAAGTGGAGCAGCTGGGACTTGAACCAGCACCCATATGGGATGCCGGCACTGCAGGCAGTGGCTTTACTCGCTAAACCTCAGCACCAGTCCCAGAAACAAGGGTTTCTAGGAAGGTCCACACGTGTGTTCCAGGGCTCAGAGTCAGGGAGAACGCCCTGAGCATGCAGAATTGGTGTCTGTGTCCCCATTTTACCTAAGAGTGAACTGAGGCTCAGTAAGGCCCGGTGACTCCCTAGACTCCCAGCAAGTAAGCAGGGAGTCTGGAACTCACGGAAGTCTAGCAGGCACCACATCGGAACTTATCTGTGTTTCCTAGTGACCTGCGGCTGGGCTTCAACATGTGCTGAATGAATGAGCAGGTGTTCAGGGGACATTTGTAAGCCTGGTCACAGACCAAGCCACGTTCCCTGGCACTCCAGCTTTGTCCTGGGAACTGGCAGCCGTCTGCCCCTAACCCATGGCTTTCAGTGCTCTGCAGCCTGCCCCTCTGCCCCTCTGCCCCTCTGCCCACCCGGCTTCTGCGCGGGGCTCACCCAGATCCTGCAGTTCTCTGCTCTGCTTGTCCAGGAGGTCTTCTATGTGCTCGCGATGAGACACATCCTGCTTATCCTTTTCTGTCTTCAAAACCTAAAACACAGGCACATTTCCCCGTTCTACACATCTCCACATCATGCGGGCGAGAACTGATTTCCCAAGTAGCATCCCGCCTCGTTCGCGAGCACTTCTCCACTCCTACTCTGCACCAGGCACTGCTGTGAGGCCGCAGCCACACGGCCACCTTCCACTTCCTTTCTGCTCTGCTCTGGGCATTCTACACTCTCCCTGTGTACAGCCGTGCCATCAGGTGGGCTTGTCAACCATGAGGTCAGTTTTGAACGCAGGTCAAGCAGATGCTGGGAAGAGAAGGTTGGGGCTCCTTTGAGTCCCAAGGCTGTGCCTGGGCTTTGCTGCCCGGCAGTCCTCAGGCGGGCTGCTGTGTGAGCTGCTAGAGAAGCGCTTCTAACCGAGCAGGACAGCTCTGCACAGGTGATGTCAGCCCCAGGACCTAATTTTTCTTTTCAGAGTTATTTTTATTTTATTTGAAAGGCAGATTTATATATATATATATAGAGAGAGGGAGAGACAGAGGTCTTCCATTTGCTGGTTCACTCCCCAAATGGGTGCAATAGCTGGGGCTGGGTCAGGCTGAAGCCAGGAGCCCGGAGCTTCCTCTGGGTCTCCCACATGGGTGCAGGGGCCCAAGCACTTGGGCCATCTTCCTTTGCCTCCCCCGCACATTGGCAAGGAGCTGGATTGGAAGTAGAGCAGCCGGGTCTTGAACCAGTGCCCTTATGGGATGCTGGCATAGCAGGTGGAGGTTTAACCTGCTGCACCACAGCTTTGGCCCCCACCCACCACCCCAGGACCTAATTTTGTACTTGGCTGAGGTTGGGCACTAATTCAATGTTTCTTGACTAAGTGAGTGACATTATAAATGAATAAATTAATAAAATTAATAGTCAGGGCTGCTCTTTTTTTTTCTTTTCAGTCAAATTCTTTGACAAAGTAACAAACACCCCTTGCAGAAAAAATTAGGGGTTTTTGGTGAGGGCCCAGATAGGATCGTGGAGAACAAGGGAGAGCCTGGGAAAGCCTGGACAAATACGGTGACATACAGACTGAATTACTTTTACTTAACTTTCTGATAACCTAGAAAGCAATAATTCTGCAGGTTCTTCCCTTTCTATACTTGTTTTTTCGTTATCGTCTCATTTTGTTTTAAAATAAGTTTTTCTGGATCACAAAAGTAAAATACATTGTAGAGAGCATGGAAATCACAGAGATGCAGTAATGAACATTTAAACTACCCATAATTCCAGCCTGCGGAGGTAACTACACGTTAGCGGATTTTCTCTGCACTTACTTCACCTAATTCATGCCATTCACTACAGGGAGTTTCCTATTGGGCCTTTTCACACTTAGCGCTCTGTCCTAAGTGTCGTAAGTGGCAAGGCTGTGCGTCAGAAGTCAGCATTCCCGAGGACTGCTCAGCACAGCGGGGGCGGTAGAGTCCACGCCAGCCTCACCTTGGGCAAGGTGGAAATTTCCTGTTTGTGGTTGTTGGCTCAGCCTCTCAAACAGACCTGGTTTTTGGTTTTCAGGGACTCCATTTCCTGGACGAACTTGTCTGTCAGCTCCTTGATCTTCTCGGTGTAGTTCATATCCTTCAGCCGGAGCTGATACTCATTCTCCATTTTTAGTTCTTCCACTCGGGTCTTCAGCTCCAACATAATCTGAGCCTGTGGGGGAAGGCAGGACACTGAATCAAGGCCATGCACAGTGTGGGTCAATCAGCATAGCTGAACCCGTGGCCGTGACCTGAGACCTGCAACTCTGTCTAGCTTCAAACTCCATGTGTCTCCACTAGAACTTGTCACCTTATCCCCACAAGCCACACAGGTGAACAACTAGGAGACCTAACGAGCTTCCTCCTCTGTCCTCACAATATATTCATGAGCTCACCTGTGCTAGGCACTGGGCCCAGAACCCTCTGGTCTCCTCCGGATTGGCTCAAATGTCACCTTCTCCAGGAGGTCTCCTTGCACCCGTTTAATCCTGCTCCCATTCCCATTCCCCTCCACCCCACTTTGCTCTTCATTTATTTGAGAGTCAGAGTTATAGAAAGGGCGGGGGGAGGGAGAGGGAGAGAGAGACAGAGACAGAGACAGAGACAGAGACAGAGAGATCTTCCATTTGTTGGTTCACTCCCCAAATGGCCGCAACAGCCAGGGCTGAGCCAGGCCGGAGCCAGGAGCCAGGAGCTTCATCTGGTCTCCCACATGGGTGGCAGGGCACCAGATGCTTGTACCACCTTCTGCTGCTTTTCCCAGGCCATTAGCAGGGATCTGGGTCAGAAGTGGAGCAGTTAGGACAGAATCAGCACCCTTACAGGACGCCAGTGTCACAGGTGGTGGTTTTACCCACTACGCTACAATGCTGGCCATTATTATTTCTTTAGATCTTGAAACTTTCTAATATGAGAGGTCTTCAAAAAACTCATAGAAAGTGTGTATTATGAAATAACTATGCATGGGTTTCAACATTTTCTGCATCAAAATAAACATCTTTTAATTTCATTTCCTGTGAACTTTCTGAAGTACCCTTGTATACTATATAATTTACTATTATTTTGGGGCTTTTTTTTTTTTTTTTGGTCTTTTTCTCTCATTAAAACTCTAAGAAGCCTAGGATCTTTGTTGGTTTTGTTCATTTGTATATCCCAAGTATCTGTAACAGGGCCTAGCACATAGCAGGCATTCAAAAAGTATTTGCTGAATTACAATTGCTGCCCTCAAGGAACTTATAGGCAGCAAAATACACGTATAATTAAAACTCATGACAAGTGGCCGAAGCCAGGTGGTACACGTCCTGCCTGTCTCGAATGCCTGTGCTGTGCTGGCCTCACTGTGAGACTTTAACCCACGCCCTAGCTCTCCTGCCCTGCTAGCTTGTGTCCGGTGTCTCCCTCCTCCATGGTACTCACTGATACCTGCGTTTTCAGAAAACTGTGATGTACACTCCCCCTTTTCCTAACCACGTCAGTGCTGCCGACAGGGCGGGAGAGAGCACAGGTGCCCGCTTCTCTCTCGCCTGCGCTTATGCCCCACACAGGCCGAGCTACGGCGTCTGTCTGTACCCCTGCTGTTGTGCTGTTTCTGAGGGGCTGGACAAGTTCATTTCTGCCCTCCCGGGGCACACAGGAAGTACTGAGACGAGGGTGAGGACGAGCCCGCCTGCATGTGCACAGTCAGGGAGGTGTGAGCGGGGGTGCCCAGCCAGGACCCCCGCACGAGATGTGGTGTGGGTGGAGCAGAGGGAGAGCCGGCTGAGACGAGCCCAGGCCATCCAGGTCCCTGCAGGCCACGCGAGGGAAGCTGAACTTCATCCCCGACAGCCTCCGAAGGTCCCCGTCTAACCTGGCTGGGCCGACGCTGGTGTTTTACCGACCTCTCCGAGGCAGTGCAGGCACTAGGGCCGAAGGCAAGGGGTTAGCTAAGAGAGGGGAGGTGGCAGAGGAGAGCCAGAGGACAGCCAAGCCTGGAGACAGCTATTTTAGAGAGCGGTGTGGGGTGGAGGCGAGAAGACGGCGGGAGAGACCACCTCCCTGGCTGGCCGGGCTGGGCCCCGAGGTGGGTGGTTAGCCCATCTTGCTGCACTGCTTGCCCAGAGCCTCACACGGGACCAGGCACGTGGCCTGCACTAACTGAACACTTTTCAGATGCACAGGCTGCCCAGGAGCGCGCCGGTGAGGACGATGCGGTCAAGGACAGGTTACGTTTGCGGGACTCGCTGCCCGTCTGCCTCACTCCACTCGCCATCCTGCTGGAGGGCCCTCTCCCGGAGATGCGGATCTTACCGAGCCGCCCCCTACCTGAATCTGCCAGCGGGGCCCTACGAGCAATCTGCCTGTCTCCCCAGCTCCATCTCTGGTCCTCTCTCCGGCGCCCCCAGCTAGCAGCCTCTTCCTCAGAGCACCCCACTCCCACCCCTCTGCACTCTGTGTGGCAGGCCCTTTCCCATTCGTTCGGCAAGGCTCTGTGCCACGCTCACCTCACCACCACGCCTGGGCTCCGACAGCGCTGTTCTTTGATAAAACCCATCACACACTTACCTCCCCTTTCTTAAATTTACCCAGCCATCCTCCCAGGCTGTGAGCTTCAGGCCTCTCTGTAATCTCAGGGGAGGCTGGAGGTCTGGTAAGGAATTCCCCTGTCCCAGGTCCCTCTCCAGTGGGTCTCTTTCTCACCTTCTCTTCCATGTCTGTTTTAGTCACGAGCACCTCACCGGCAAAGCCCACCTCCCTCTCTCGCTTGATCCCCCGGCCGTCTTTATCAAAGACCTTCCAAGTGAACAGGCAGCCGTCGTCAGCGGCAGTCAGCAGGAATTGGTCATCAAAGGTGAGCAGCATCTGCAGAGACCAAGACCGCAGAGAGGAAGTTCCTGAAGCCCCAGGGGAGCAGGCAGAGTGACCTCCCTCTTTCATGGCCTCACCGGTAGGTGGACTTGGTCCTGGGCAAGAACAGGAGCCTCAAAGGGCCAGAAGAAGCAAGGCTATATAGAGGGAATGGAGTCTGAAGAGTCAATTATTATCTAGAATGAATCAAGAAATCTCAGAACTCAATGGTAAAAAAACCAAACAGGGGCCGGACTTGTGGCAAAATAGGTTAAGCCACCACCTGCAATGCTGGCATCCTATATGGCCACAGGTTCAAGACTTGCTTGTTCCATCTCCAATACAGCTCTCTGCTAATGCACCTGGGAAAGCAGTGGAAGATGGCCCAGGTGCTTGGGCCCCTGTACCCACGTGGGAGACCTGGAGGAAGCTCCTGGCTCCTGGCTGCAGCCTGGCCTAGCTGTTGTGGCCATCTAGGGAGTAAACCAGCAGATGAAGATCTCTCTCTGTAACTGTCTTTCAAATAAATAAAATAAAGCTTAAACAACAACAACAAACAATCCAAGTTAGAAAAGGGACAGGGACAGTGTTGTGGCACAGTGGGTTAAGCTTCTGTTTGCAATGCCAGCATCCCCTATATGAGCGCCAGTTTAAGCTACTGTGCTTCTAACCCAGCTTCCTGCTAATGCACCTGGGAAGGCAGCTGATGATGGCACAAGTACTTGAGCCCCTGCCACCTATGTGGGAGACCAGGACAGAGTTCCTGGCTCCTGGCTCCTGGCTTGGGCATGGACCAGCCATGGTTGTTGTGATCATTTGGGGAGTGAACCAACGGATGGAAAAATCACTTTCTCTCTCTGTACCTGTCCCTCTTGTTGCATACTTCTGCATGTGGACATTCAATTTTCCCAGCACCATTTGTTGAAAAGACTGTCCTTTCTCCAGGGACTGATTTTAGCTCCTCTGACAAAGATCAGTTGGATGCAGATGCGTGGATTGATTTCTGGAGTTTCTATTCTCTTCCATTGGTTCATATGTCTATTTTTGTGCCAGTACCAGGCTGTTTTGATCGTAAGTACCCTGTAGTACACCCTGATCTCTGGTATTGTGATGCCTCTGGCTTTGGTTTTGTTGTTTAAGATTGCTTTAGCTATTCAGGGTCTCTTGTGAAACTAATTCTCTTATACATTGCTGGTGGGAACGGTACAGCCACTCTGGATAAAATTTTGGCAGCTTCTTTCAAAAAAATTTTATTTTTTAAAAGAATTTTATTTGAGAAGCAGAGCGACAGAGAAGAGAAAGACAGAGAGAGAGGGACAGATAGAGGAAGATCTTCCATCTGCTGGTTCACTCCCCAAATGCCCACAATGGCCAGGGCTGGGCCAGGCTGAAGCCAAGAACCCAGAACTCAACCTGTCTTCAACATGGATGACAGGGACCCAAGCACTTGAGCCATCATATGCTGCCTTGCAGGGTGTGCATTAGCAGGAAGCTGGATTGGATGTGGAGTAGCTGGGACTTGAATCAGGCACTTCAGTGGGGGATGGGCCTCCTAAGCAGTATCTTAACACCTCCACCAAATGTCTGCTCCAATTTCTTAAAAAACATAGCATTTATGATTTAAGTTGGCAATCACACTCTGGGAAATTTACCACAGAAAAATGAAAATTTATGTCCACACAAAAGCCTGTCCATGTTTGTTCATGGCAGCTTTAACTGTAATGGCTAAACTGGAAAACAATAAAAATATTCTACAACTGGTGAAGGGTTAAATGAACAGTGGCTTGTTTACTGTGGAGTACCATGGTATATTACTTGACAACAAGAAGGGCTAAGCAATTTTTTAAAAAGATTTTATTTATTTATCTGAGAGGTAGAGTTACAGACAGACAGAGGGAGAGAGAGGGAGAGAGAGGGAGAGAGAGGGAGAGAGAAGGAGAGAGAGGAAGAGAGAGGGAGAGAAAGGGAGAGAGAGGGAGAGAGAAAGGGGATCAGAGAGAGGGAGAGAGAGAAAGTCTTCCATCCGCTGGTTCACTCTCCAAATGGCTGCAATGGCTGGAGCTGGACCATTCTGAAGCCAGGAACCAGGAGCTTCTTCCAGGTCTCACATGTGAGTGCAGGGGCCCAAGCACTTGAGCCATCTTCCACTGCTTTCCCAGGCCATAGCAGAGAGCTGGATCGGAAGTAGAGCAGCCGGGACATGAATTGGCTCCCATATAGGATGCTGGTGCCACAGGAGGAGGCTTAGCCTACCGCACAACAGTGCCAGATCCAGCAATTATTTAATTATTTTTTTTAGATTTATTTATTTATTTATTTGAAAGTCAGAGTTACACAGAGTGAGGAAGAGACAGAGATAAAGGTCTTCCATCTGATGGTTCACTCCCCGAAGGGCCACAACGGCTGGGGTTGGGCCAGGAATCAGAAGCTTCTTCTGGGTCTCCCATGTGGGTGTAGGGGTCCAAGGATTTGGGCCATTTTCTGCTGCTTTCCCAGGCACATCAGCAGGGAGCTGGATAGGAAGTGGAGTAGCCAGGCCTTGAACCTGTGCCCGTATGGGATGCTGACTTCACAGGTGGTGGCTTTACCCACTATGCCACAGTGTGGCCCCAGGGATAAGCAATTAATACAGAACATAACTTGATGCGTCTGAAGAGCATTAGGCTGAGTGAAGAAAAGCCTCTGTCAGAAGCTTACATACTGTTGGATTCCATTTATTTTGAATTCTCAGAATGACAAAATCACTGACATGGGGAATAATTTAGTGACTTCCTGGGGTTAGAGGCGTCTGTGTGACTACAGAGGTGGCATGAAGCAAGTCTCTGTGCTGATGGGACAGTTCTGGATCTTGAGTGTCGTGCTGGTGACATGAACTGAGCATGTGATAAAGTGACACAGGCTCTATGCAGAATCAGTGCACTGGGGTCAATCTTCTGGTTTCATATTGTACTACAGTCACATAAGGTATAATTGTTGGGGAAAACTGGATGAAGGGTGCACAGAACTCTGCACTATCTTTAAAATATCCTGTACTCCAGGGATTAAGTTCCGCACTCCTGGCTTTGGCCTGGCTCAGCTCTGCCTGTTGCAGGCATTTGGGCAGTGAAGCAGAAGACAGAGTATCTTCATTTCTGTCTCTCTTTCTCTTTCTCTGTGCCTTAAAAAAAATGAACTTAAAAAAAAAATCATGCTTTTGGGGGCTGGCGCTGAGGCACAGTAGGCTAAGCCTTCTCCTGTGGCACTGGTATTCCATATGGACGCTGGTTTGTGTCCCGGCTGCTCCTCTTCTGATCCAGCTCTCTGTTTTGGCCTGGAAAGGCAGCAGAGGATGGTCCAAGTGCTTGGGCCCCTCTTTCCACATAGGAGACTCGGAAGAAGCTCCTAGCTCCTGGCTTCAGATCAGCCCAGCTCCAGCCATTTCATTATTTGGGGGGTGAACCAGCGGATGGAAGACCTTTTTCACTGTCTCTTCCTCTCTGTAACTCTACTTCTCAAATAAATAGATAAATATTTTTAAAAAATTTTGAAGGAAAGTTTTTTTTTAAAAAAAATTCATGCTTTTGAGAAATACTTAGTCATATGAAAAATACTTATCATAGTGTTAAGTTAAAAAAAAAAGCAAGCCAGCACTGTGGAGCAGTGGGTTAACGCCCTGGCCTGAAGCGACGGCATCCCTTATGGGTGTCGGTTTTAGTCCCAGCTGCTCCTCTTCCAATCCAGCTCTCTGCTGTGGCCTGGGATAGCAGTAGAAGATGGCCCAAGGCTGCCGCCGTGACTCAATAGGATAATCCTCCGCCTGTGGCGCCGGAACACTGGGTTCTAGTCCCAGTTGGGGCGCCGGATTCTGTCCCGGTTGCTCCTCTTCCAGGCCAGCTCTCTGCTGTGGCCCAGGAGTGCAGTGGAGGATGGCCCAAGTGCTTGGCCCCTGCACCCCATGGGAGACCAGGAGAAGCACATGGCTCCTGGCTTCGGATCAGTGCAGCGCGATTTGAGGGGTGAACCAATGGAAAAGGAAGACCTTTCTCTGTCTCTCTCTCTCACTGTCCACTCTGCCTGTCAAAAAAACAAAAAAAAAACAAACAAAAAAAAAAAAAAAAAAAAAAAAAGAAGATGGCCCAAGTCTTTGGGCCCCTGCACCCACATGGAAGACCTGGAAGAAGCTCCTGGCTTCGGATCAGCGCAGCTCTGGCTGTTGTGGCCAACTGCGGAGTGAAACAGAGGATAGAAGACCTCTCTCTCTCTCTCTTCTTTCTCTGCGTAACTCTTTCAAATAAATAAAATAAATCTTAAAAACAATTTAAAAAAAGCATGTCATAAAAGAGTGGCCATAGAGTATGATGTTAATTTAATTTAAAACACACACAATGTATATAAAAGGGTTGGAGAAAATGCATCAAAATATTAATGTTATTATTAGTTTTATTTTTTAAAAACATATATCTTATTTATGTAGAAAGTCAGAGTTACAGAGAGTGAAGGAAAGAGAGAGAGATCTTCTATCTGCTGGTTCACTCCTTAGATTCTGCAATGGCCAGGGCTGGGACTAGCCAAAGCCAGGAGCCAGGAGCTTCACCTGGGTCTCCATGTGAGTGGCAAGGGCCAAAACACTCGGGCCATCTTCTGCTGCTTTCCCCAGGCCACAGCAGGGAGCTGGATCAGAAGCAGGGCAGCTGGGACTTGAATCAGCACCCATATGGGATGCCAGCATTGCAGGCTGCAGCTTTACACACTAAGCCACAATGCTGGCCCTGAGAAGTTTTATTCTAAAACAAGCATGCTTAGCCACAAAACTTAGTAGATATGAAGGAAAGAGGAAGACTATGTTATAATGATTTCCTCTGTCCCCAAGGCCAGGTTCAGTGCAGGAATGTTCCATTTTATACTGAAAAACTCTTTCTTAACGAGGATAGTATCTGCAGACAGGCCAATATGGAGTTTGGGACATAATCAACCTCAGGCGTCCATGTCATTCAATCTGGAGTAAGAGAGGGGAGGATAGAGGGGACATCTTCCCAGTGCCTCTTCTTCCAGGCTCTGTGTAAACACAGACATTATTCTTTCTTTTCCTTAAACCATTAATAACCTTAATTTGTGGATGACTATGATTTCTTGGTAACCACACTGCGTGTTAGAGAATTCTTTTAAAGAAATTTTTACTGTGGTAAAATACATAAGCCTACAGATATATTTCTGATTATTTCCTAAGTAAATTCCTAGAAGTAGTCTAGACAAAGAGCATTAATAGTCCACAGACTGTTACTGAATGGATGGCAAGGGGTAAATAAGGAGAGAGAAAGAATAAGGAAAGAGTCAAGACACTGGGAGGCTGAAGGGAGAAGAAAGGTGTGATGGCAGGACCAAGGACAGGGCCCCTCTCACCTTGGTGACAGGACCAGCATGGGCCTGGTACTCGTTGAATTCTTTCTGCAAAGGCAGAGGGTACTTCATTGCACGAATGGTTCCTATGGAGGTGCCCACAAACATCATGCGCCCAGAATGTGAGATGACAATGGCTGTGTAGACGACTTCATATGCTGACATCTCTCGAAGGACCTGGAACACAGACAGCTCTGTTCAGTGGAGATGCTGAGCTGGGTCTGCAGCTTCCTGGTGGCTGCTCATCCCCTCCCCCAATAGCATCCTAAGGGTCTGGGTTACCAAAAAAATTTTTTCCAAGGTAGACATTTGGCCTGGTGGTTAAGATGCTTACACATCCTACATCAAAGCCAGTGACCAGTCTTGATACCTGGCGCTAGCTTCTGACTCCGGCTTCCTGCGAATGAAGACCCTGGGAGGCAGTGGTAACAGCGGAAGTAACTGGGTTCCTGCCACCTGCCTGGGAAACCTGGATCGCATTCCTGGCTCCCAGCTTCAGCCTGATCTAGTCCCAGCCATTGCAGGCAATTGGGGAATAAACCAGCAAATGGGGGCTCTATTGGTCTCTCTGCTTCTCAAATAAATGAATAAAAATTAAAAAAAAAAAAAAGAAAAATGTTTTTCTACTCCTGATGGCATCTGGCGTAGTACCCAACACATAAAGACACAGTATTTCTCAGCTGCTTGACTGAAAAATAAACAGTTCTAGGCATTAGGGATACTACTTAAGAAAGGAAATCTTGTGTGTGTGTGTGTTTTTTTTTTTTTTTTTCTGACAGGCAGAGTTAGACAGAGAGAGAGAGGGAGTTATAGATAGTGAAAGAGAGACAGAGAGAAAAGTCTTCCTTCTGTTGGTTCACTCCCCTAATGGCCGCCATGGCCGGTGCTGCGCCGATCCGAAGCCAGGAGCTTCTCCTGGTCTCCCATGCGGGTGCAGGGACCCAAGCACTTGGGCCATCCTCCACTGCCCTCCTGGGCCACAGCAGAAAGTTGGACTGGAAGAGGAGCAACCGGGACTAGTACTCAGCACCCCAACCGGGACTAGAACCTGGGGTGCCAGCGCTGCAGGCGGAGGATTAGCCAAGTGAGCCACAGCGCCAGCAGAAGAAAGGAAATTTTAAGATAGCTTCCTATCTGCACGCTGTAACTCATTCAATCTCCAAGCCCTCTGAAGAAGTTACAGTTTTCCATGTGTTTTTTTAAAAAGTTATATTTATTTGAAAGGCAGAGTAACAGAGAGAAAGAGATCTTCCATCTGCTGATTTACTCCCCAAATGACTGCATCAGTCAGAGCTTTGGCCAGGAGCCCCAAACTCCACTCTGGTCTCCTATATGAGAGGCAGGGGCCCAAGCACTTGGGTCATCCTCCACTGTTTCTTTTTTTTTAATTCTTAAAAATTTTTTAAAGATTTTATTTATTTATTTGAGAGGTAGAGTTACAGAGAGTGAGAGGGAGAGACAGAGAGAAATGTCTTCTGTCCGTTGGTTCACTCTCCAAATGTCTGCAACCGCCAGAGCTGCACCAATCTGAAGCCAGGAGCCAGGTGCTTCTTCCCAGTCTCCCATGTGGGTGCAGGGGTCCAAGTACTTGGGCCATTTTCTACTGCTCTCCCAGGCCACAGCAGAGAGCTGGATTGGAAGAGGAACAGCTGGGACTAGAACCAGCGCCCATATGGGATGCCGGTGGCACAGGCGGAGGATTAACCTACTGCACCATGGCACCAGCCCCCCTCCACTGCTTTCCTAGGCACACAGCAGGGTGCTGGATCAGAAGCGGAGCAGCCGGGACTTGAACCAGTACTCTAATATGAGATGCTATGAGAATCCAGTGTCCTAGGGGGCAGTTTAACCTTCTTAGCCAAAGTGTTGCCCTTTTTTTAAAAATTTCTTTTTTTTTTTCCCTTAAGATTGATTGTATTTATTTGAAAGGTAGAGAGAAAAGGAGATACAGAAAGAGGTCTTCTATCTGCTGGTTCACTCCCTAAATGGCTGTAATGGTGGTGGCTGGGCTAGGCCAAAGCCAGAAGCCAAGAACTCCATCCTGGGCTCCCATGTGGGTGCAAGGACCTAGGTACTCAGGACATCCTCTACTCCTTTCCCAGGCACATCAGCAGGGAGCTAGACTGGAAATGGCATAGCTGGGACTGGAAATCACGCTCCAATAATGAAATGCTGGCAGTGCAGGCAGCAGCTTAAGTGCTGGCCCCTGCTATGCCTGTTTGAATGATGAGACAGATGAGTCACAGAGATGGTAGTGAACTGCCTCAACTTGTACACCTAGTGTGTGACACCCAGGCTCCCACGTCTGCTCTTGGCTGCTAGGCTGTCATGCACTGCAATGTGAGAATGAGATGCTGACCATAAATATATTCAGGAACCCTGTATGAATGCCCATTATAGAAACAAGGACTATAAGGGAATCCACTAATTCCTTCACTCATTAATATACCCACGCACCCCCACGTCCAAACATTTACTGAATGTTTGTTGTGGGTCACGCAGTGTCCCAGCTGGTAGACGTCAAGAGGAGTGAAATATGGGCCTGTCCCAAAGGAGCCTTGTTCTGGAACAGCACCGTTAAAGCTGCCACAGAAGGAAGACCAGGTGTCCTGGGGGCACGTGGGGGAGTGCGTGCGCTGGGCTGGGCTCTGGCCATGGGGAGATGGTGCCTCAGATCAGATGCTGCCAAGTTATCCATGCACGCAGGTACCCAGCCCCACAAGTGGCCATCACTGGGGAACAGCCGGAGAAGCTGATGAGTTCAGGTGTCACTGGACACCGGAGGAGGACCTCAGCCACCTTTACACAAAGTGTCCTTGCTGGACTCTCTTAACTGGGGCCAAATCTGACAAATCTTCAAGTTTCAGAGTTTGGAGATTTCAAGCCTGGATGCCAACCATCAGCTCTAGCTGTATTTGACCTAGGAAAGCACAGATCGGGGCTGAGAGAGCAGGTGAGAGACCCTGTTGAGCTCCTGCCTGGAGGTGGATGAGCCGCCAGACAGGGAGCAAAAGGAAACGGAAAGGGGAGTCACAGGCTCATCTGCGCAGGGCACTGGGCAGGAAACGCAAAAGGAGGAGGAGCCAGCTGCCCTCCCAGGAGAAAGGGGCCCTGTTCTCCCAGGCGCTCTGGCCAAGCCCACCTTCCGCCCTGAGCATGGGAGGCTGTGTTCCGCAGATGGCCCAGGGTTGGGGGGAGGGGCAGACTCACGGAAGAATCCGCGATCTCCTTGAGTGTCTGGTCTGATCCCACAGCAAAGATGATTTTGGAATCCGGGGAGATGGCGACACAATTGTAGCTGCAGGACTTGAGCACACACTCCGTCTCCCTCTTCCCTGACGACAGATTCCACTCATACACTGCGCCGTCTGTGCCGCCTGAAATCAGTTTGCTGTCATCTGCGTTCCACACAACTGAGCGCACCTGCAGGGAGGAAGACGTACTCAAGAGTGTGCAAACACACACGTGTGCGCACATGCACACACACACAAAGGGGGTGAACTCTCCAGGTGCTCCAACAGACTGAGGCAGTGCGTCCTTCCCTGTTACAGTCCTTAGTTCCTTGGAATGCTAACACTGTTTTCCTGGAGGCTTGCAAAATACTGAAGAAGAAACACTCCCACTTCTTTATCATTTTATGAACATGAGAACTAACTCAGAATGGTTTCTTAAAGCTACAAAAAATCCATTACTGCTATGTTTTTCAAAGCTTTTTTTTTTTTATTGGGAAATGGCTATGTGTTCACCGAAAGTTGTAAAAGTAGTACAGTGGAAGTAGACTTCTGGAAAGGCAGAGGAGAGACCTCAGCCCATCCTCTCCCCAAAGCATCAAAATGATCATCGAAGGGCTCCAAAAGTTGTCCTAAAAGCATACAACAAGTGGAGAAGCAAGCTGCCCAGTTTTGGTAAGAACAGTCTGTGGCACTGGAGTCCTAACTCTTGCCATTCCTGGTTCCAGCTTCAGAAACTTCGCGGCTGTGTGCTCTGGGAGGGCATGGCAGAGCCAATGAGACGCCGCTCCCTGCAGCTCCCAGTCCTGGGCTACGGTTTCACCCTGGGAAGGGCAGGCTGCTGGCATCTCTCATCCTCAGCCTTGCCTGACGCTGTACAAAGTCTGTTCCCAGCAGGCATGCCCAAGGGCAGCCCATCTGCCTTCCTCTGGCCAGCCTCCCATTTATTGCTCAGAGCAGAGCAGGCCAAAAATAATGCCATACTGCTCTTGCCTCAGTTTGCACCTAGGTGGACGCTCCACACCCTGAGGAGCAAGCTGGAAAGACTGCGGGCTTCCATTCACCAACCAATCCCTATTCACCCTGCAAGTACCACTCCAAGTGGGGAGTCACTCCTGGAAAAGCAGGTCCCTGACCCTGACCCTGACCCTGCCCAGGGTGACTTCATGCCCTAAAACAAAGAGTTCTATTGCCTCTCTTGAGGGACTGCCTTTATGTTGTACACAGCCCGGAGGAGGTCATGCCTACCGGCAGTGATTACAACAGAGACCATGGTAGAGAGTAACTACATGGTACAAGCAAGATGGCAGAAGAGCAGAGCTTTCATAAAGAGAGCACGGGAAAGAGACAGTCAAGGAGAATGCTTCTGGGGTCACAGCCGACTCTAGGGCTGGTGGCTGTGTGTGTGCGCTAGGCTACAGCCACCCAGGAGCGATCGAGCAGGACGTGGTGAAAACCTGAAGGTATCTCCCAAGCTGCTGGAGACCCAGGATGGGGCCTCACTGGCACAAGGAGTAGAGACGCAGCATCTGATCAGCAAGGAGCATGCAGCTCCTGTGACCCAGGGCCACCTCCGAGGAGCCAGGCTCACACCCACATCACTCTTCCCTGGCAGCCCGAAGACTGCACCCATGGCCATGGCTGCCCCTTCTCAGGCACAGTCAGAGAATCTCCAAAACAGCAGTTTCTGGTTGAACAAGGAACAAAACAACAGACTCCCTGAACTGGGATAGCCGCCTCCAAGCCACAGTTGGCTGAGGGGCTTACGTAAGATCTGTGATTAATAAGCAGCTTAGGAATTAGCAGTGGGAATCTCTAGGTAGCTAGGCTAAAAGACAAACAACAAACAAACAATCCACCACCACCACCACCCCCCAAAAATTAACTAAAAAGGCAAGAAACGTAGTCCGAGCAGCGACATCAGAGGCTGGGAGAAATGACTTCACAGAATTCATTCAGCGGTAACTAAACAACCAGCCACACAGATCACCACACCACCAACAGCACCACCCCTTGGGGGGAAAGTATCTAGAACTGCTCTAAACCATTTAATCAACAAAAATTATGAAAAATGCAAAGAAACAACAAACCAACCTATAAAGCAAGCAGGGCAGTGTGACCAATAAGGAAGTAACAACAGAACAAGGAGCAGGCAGCAGAACCGCCTCTGCAGGCGCCCAGAGGGCAGCCTCGGCAGATGCACATGTGCACAGGGAACTAAAGGAAGGGATGGGCACCTGGTGCAGTGGTTAAACCACTGCCCAGGACACCCACATCCTCTACCGCGGCGCTTCATTCGAGTCCTGGCTCCTCTGCCTCGGATCCAGTTTCCTGATCATGTGCACCCTGGGGAGCAGCAGGTGATGGCTCAAACACTTGAGAACCTGCCACCCACATGGGAGACCTGGATTGAGTTGGAGGCCCCTGGCTGTGGCCTGGTCCAGCCACTGCTGTTGAAGGCATTTGAGGAGTGAACCAGCAGATGGAAGATCTTGCTCTAGGTCTCTCTTTCAAATAAAATGAAAATAAATAAATACAAATGTAAAAAGAATCTATATGAAGCAAACTTTCAAAACAAATTTTTTTTTCTTTTTTTCTTTTCTTTTTTTTTTTTTTTTTTTGACAGGCAGAGTGGACAGTGAGAGAGAGAGACAGAGAGAAAGGTCTTCCTTTGCCGTTGGTTCACCCTCCAATGGCCGCCGCGGCCGGCGCACCGCGCTGATCCGATGGCAGGAGCCAGGTGCTTCTCCTGGTCTCCCATGGGGTGCAGGGCCCAAGGACCTGGGCCATCCTCCACTGCACTCCCTGGCCACAGCAGAGAGCTGGCCTGGAAGAGGGGCAACCAGGACAGAATCCGGTGCCTCGACCGGGACTAGAACCTGGTGTGCCGGCGCCGCAAGGATTAGCCTAGTGAGCCGTGGCGCCGGCTTCAAAACAAAATTAAAAGGAGGTTTGATGACAAGTTCTAACAAATAATTGATAGAAATCATTTTTTAAAAATTTTATTTATTTGAGAGGTAGAATTACAAAGAGTGAGAGGGAAAGACAGAGAGAAAGGTGTTCCATCTGCTGGTTCTCTCCCCAAATGGCCACAATGGCTGAACTATGCTGATTTGAAGCCAGGAGCTTCTTCTGGGTCTCTAAGTGTCTCCAAGTGTGTTGGCACAAGAGCCCCAGGACTTGGGCCATCTTCTACTACTTTCCCAGGCCATAGCAGAGAGCTGGATTGGAAGAGGAGCAGCTGGGACAAGAACCATCACCCGTATGGGATGCTGGCACTGCAGGCGGAGGCTTAACTTACTACACTGCAGCGCCAGCCTCATCATTTCTACTCTTGTGTCCTTCAACATATTCTTCCCCTGTAGCCAAATTAATCTTCTAAAACGCAAATACGATTATCTAATTCCTTCCCTACGACTTCAATGATTTCAAAAAGGAAGCTAGAGTATAAAATTCAATGCTGGTGCCGTGGCTCAATAGGCTAATCCTCCGCCTGCGGTGCTAGCACACTGGGTTCTAGTCCCGGTTGGGGCGTCAGATTCTGTCCCGGTTGCTCCTGTTCCAGTCCAGCTGTTTGCTGTGGCCCAGGAGTGCAGTCGAGGATGGCCCAAGTGCTTGGGCCCTGCACCTGCAAGGGAGACCAGGAGAAGCACCTGGATTCTGGCTTTGGATCAGCATGGTGCGCCAGCCGCAGCGGCCATTGGAGGGTGAACCAACGGCAAAAAGGAAGACCTTTCTCTCTGTCTCGCTCTCTCTCATTGTCCACTCTGCCTGTCCAAAAAATAAATAAATAAATAAATAAATAAAATAAATTTCTTGCTTTGCTAAAAAAAAATTAAAAAAAAAATTCAAGGCTAACAAGATTCCATGTATTTGGGACCCTGTGACCTTTTCCAATCTCAGCTTCCTCCTGATGCCTCTCACAGAGCCTTCAGTTCCTCTGACACTCCATAGACCTCCCGCTTTTGGGTCCCTGTCTACAATGATTATCCCCGCCAGCTCTGTCTGGTTAATTCCTACTCACTCCTCCAGGACCAAGTCTGCAAACCTCTCAACCTAAATTATGCCAATTCTTCATTATTTCCTCTAATAAAGCCTCATGTTTTATTCTCCATTGAATTAATCACAATTTATAATTAAAATTGTCTGTGCCATTCGTTGTTTTATTGTCTCTTTCCTCAGGTAGACAATAAACCCTACGAGGGAAGGAATAGTTTCTCCGTTGTTCACCTGTAACCTACCGGCTCGCCCAGTGCTTGGTTCTGTGCCCTTGTTCCCCGGGCTCGGCTCACTCACTTACCTTCCCTGTATGTCCTTTCAGGTTTGAGATGTTCTCTAGGCTCGTGGTGGTAAAAATGTGAATCACATTTCCATTGACTGCAGCAAACAGGTGGCCTCCATTGCTGAAGGCGCACTGCAGGAAGAGAGCAAGCGAGCATGGAGGAGATGAGCATCCAGGAGGTCGTGGAAATTCACGCAGTTTTTCATAGCATGCACTTTTCATGAACTTTTTGAAGACCTCTCATGCACACTGATTTCCAATTGTCTTGCACCAAAATACATATACCTTTTAATTCTATTTTCCATGATCTTTCTGGAGTCCCCCTCATAGGACAGAATTCGAACACATTTTCAGGTACTCTCACTATTCCTGAATCTCATAAGGGTCAAGATGCTGACACTGCTGTGCCCACTAAGCATGAAGCTGCCTGGATGGCAGAGCCCCCATTCTGCCTGCAGATAGACTGATACAGAGTGTGGAGGGGAGTCCCGAGACATGGGCTGGTTTCTGCAGGTCACCTCAAGGGCTGAGCTGCTGGGCTGTTCACTGCATCTCACCAGTGATGCCTATTCTTCCATGGCTCCTCCCACTCCCCAACCTCACCTTCCTAGTGGTGACTCTGATTCTGCAATGACTTTTATTTTTCAGTATCTGTCAATATTCCACAGCCACAGGGAGGGTTTTTCACAGGTGGGATCTCATAAGGTTTGGGATTCAATGAAATATTTTGGTGGGCATAAGATAACAGAAATAGGGGGCCAGCAGGGCAGTGCCGCAGGTTAAGCTGCCACTTGTGACACTGGCATCCCATACTGGAGTGTTGGTTCAAGTCCCAGTTCCTTGCTAAAGTGCCCAAGAAATCAGCGGATGATGGCCCAAGTATTTGGGCCTCTGTCACCCACATGGGAGACCTGGAGAGAGTTCCTGGTTTAGCCTTGGCCATTGTGGCTATTTGGGGAGTGAACCAGTGGATGGAAAAAAATCTATTTTCTCAATCCTGCTCTTCCTCTCTGTCACTCTGCCTTTCAAATAAACAAATAGATTAAAAAAAGAAAATGGGAAAAGAACTGGATACTCAATGAGTTTGGTGGGAGAAGAACTGGCATTTTTTTTTTTTTCTTTTTGAAACTACTAAAGTTCTGTAAGACAGATGTCAGGTCCCCCTCCCCAGAACGTGTGAACTCATGATATTTCAGCTCTGGCTTTCCAAGAAACTAGACACTCATCTCCAGCAGTGTCTACCTCTTTGCATCCTCTGACGGAATATTCTTTGAAAGAACGAATATCATCAATGAGTAGGTTCATTAGGCGTAATTTGTCAGCAAACCCTACTACAATGTAGTGTCCAGATGGGTGAAGGCTGATAGAATATGCCTCTTCTTGGTACTCCTTAAACAGTTCCAGGGTGCTGCGGAAAAGACGGACAGTTGAGTTAGGAGCCTAGCTCATGACATCCTGAGCCCTCCACCGAATCTGACATCTATTACTATCACAGCAATTGGATGCTCCATTGCTTGCAATCAGTGGTGCCTCTCTTTCCTAGATTTTGTTTATCTGCAGTAAAATCCAACACTGAGTATGGCACCCAGGGTTGTTTTGTGATGGTGAAGACCCAACTCTGTTGATATTCCAAAAGTCACAAGTAGTGTACAAATATTCTTTTAACAGCCCTTGAAACTGTACACAAGAACAAAACAAACGTCAGTGTGGGGTTGACGCAGGGTCCCGGCAGCTGTGCCAGGGATAAATCACTAGCATGCTGGAGGTGCCTGCAGCCCTGATTGACGAGGAGGAGTAGAGTCTGGAGAGCTCGTGATGCTAAGACCAGATGAGGGTGACGAGGGGACGGGAGGGCTAGAAGGACATGGGGACTCTAGCATAGTGTCTGGCATGTCTTGCATTGAGTAAGAACACAAAGTTATTTTCTAGCTCATATAAGAGAAATCAAGTCAGTAGGTTGGCTGACTTGATGTTAAAAAGTCTTTTCCAATTGACAATTTTGAAGTAATTAAGTTTTTATTTATTTTTAAAATTAATATAAAGAGAACAGATTTTCATTACAAAGATAGAATTCTTTTTTTTTTTTATTCTTATGGGGCCAGGCAGAGTTAGACAGTGTGAGAGAGAGACAGAGAGAAAGGTCGTCCTTCCATTGGTTCACCCTTCCAATCAGCGCACCACTCTGATCCGAAGCCAGCAGCCAGGTGCTTCCTCCTGGTCTCCCATGCGGGTGCAGGGCCCAAGCACTTGGGCCATCCTCCACTGCACTCCCGGGCCACAGCAGAGAGCTGGACTGGAAGAGGAGCAACCGGGACAGAATCCGGCACCCCAACCAGGACTAGAACCTGGGATGCCAGCGCCGCAGCCGGAGGATTAGTCAAGTGAGCCATGGCACCGGCCACAAAGATAGAATTCTAATAACATAATGATATTTTCCTTCTTCCCTTCCTCCCTCCCATTAATTAAGTTTTACAACTCCCTCATTAAGGGTGGGCATCATGGTGCAGTAGGTTAGCCACCGCTTGAGATGCCGGCATCCACACAGGAGTGCTCCTGACTCAGCTTCTGTGCTTGGAATGCAAAGAGAGGATGATTCAGGGGGTTGGGTCCCTGCCACCTATTGAGAGATTAGGACGGAATTCTGGGCTTTTGGCTACAGCCTGGCCCAGCCTTGGCTGTTGCAAGCATGTTGGGGAGTGAACCAGCAGATGGATGATCTCTCACCCCTCTCTCTGACACTCTGCCTTTCAAATAATAATACAAAGTATCTCCAATGAAAACAATTCACCTAAACAAATTTAACAACCAAACTCCTGAATGCTACAGTAGCAAAGCCTTCCATTTCTTACTTGGATTCATAATTCCAGATGCGAATGGACCGGTCCAGAGAACAGGTGGCAATGAGGGGTTTGCGGATGCAGGTGGCTAGACCAGTGATGGACGCTGAGTGCAATGGGTACATCAGATACTCAAAGTGAGCAGGTTCCCCCTGAAGAAACCACACAGAATGAATTCTGGCAGAGTAAACAAAAGGCTGGTTTGCCCTTCAGCTCTAATTAGTACCGTGAACATTTATTAGCCTGGGGACAGAGATACCAGGCTATGGGCAAACTGTTTTAGCATTACCCGTATTTTCCTATGCCATTATTCCTTTAATGGTAATAAAAGACTTTATTCTATGGCAACCCCAGAAGTTAATTTAGTGATTCCTCTACTGTGGGAACACTTAAGTGGCTTCCACTTTTTATTTAGAAGTAACATTAAACTAAACACCCTTGCACATAAGCCTTTATGCACTTCTCTGATTACTTCCTTAGGATACATTTCTAGAAGCGGAATATTGGGTAAAATGGTATGAATAATTTTAAGGATCTTGGTAAGTAAAGCCAATTTTCTCTCCAAAGAGACTGTACTAATTGCCACCAGAAGCAAACGAGAGTCTGGTGAGTGATTTTAAATTGAAATGCATCCTATTGCACTGGTCATGTAGGTCCCAGGTGTTCACCACCAGGGGCGTCATCTCCAGGACACTGGAGTGAGGAGATGTAATGAGGTGGACACATTTCCGGTCTGTTAACAATCCAGGAAAAGGCTGAAATGGGGATTCCCTTGAATTTCTGGCCCACCACCACTTAAGCGCTTAGGTGCATTTACTCCAAGCTCCTCTACCACTTGTATCTCAGGGACAGAGGCGCCGTGCTGGGAAGATCTGCCTCACGCTTCTCCATCTGCTACCCCTACTTTCTCCAGTACCTTAAACCTGCCTGTCTGCACAAGCACATTCCCACTAGCTTCCAAAGCTACTCAAAGCTTTCTTGTCTTAAGAACAAAAATCATTCTCTCGCTTCCTCCTCTTATTTGTACCCCTGCCTGTATAGGTCATGTGGGATGAAGCATCAGACAAACAGGTTTATTGGTTTCATTTGGAACTCATGACCACAAACCTGCAGTTGGCATTTAACATTGCCTGCTAATGCTACCACACTTTTCAGTAAGTTTGCTTTCTGCACATCCAGGATAACTATTTCATACTACTTATTCTCCTCTAAAACTTTTCAAATTCTTTCTCCCATTCTCAAATCTCATATGATGACTTTATCTCCTATTTCCTTGATTTTTGTATCTTTGTTTTATTTATTTTATATTCCAGAAGCAGAGTTTCACACTACTATAATCAATTCATGCAAGGTCAATTTTCTTTTCTTTTTTTTTTTTTTTTAAGATTTATTTATTTATTTGAAAGACAGCGAGAGAGAGAGAGAGAGAGAGAGAGACAGACAGATGTCTTCCGTTTGCTGGTTCATTCCCCAGATGGCTGCAATGGCTGGAGCTGTGCTGATCCGAAGTCAGGAGCCAGGAGCTTCTTGCGGGTCTCCCATATGGGTGCAGGGGCCCAAGGACCTGGGCCATCTTCTACTCCTTTCCCAGGCCATAGCAGAGAGCTGGATCAGAAGTAGAGCAGCCAGGACTCGAACTGGCGCCCATATGGGATGCCGGTACTGCAGGAAGAGGCCTGACCTATTATGCCATAGTGCCGGCCCTATTTTTTTTTTTAATTTTTAACTCCTCTTCCTTCTTTATCATATGTACCACCTAGTAGATTTCATTTATATCACCGAACATATTTTTTATTTCTGTAAAGTGGTACTGTGCTTCAGATCTAATGCTGTATTTTTATTTTTCCTCTCAAAACTGTATTTTTAAGGAATTATCTTTGTTGTGGCATGCATAGTTTATTGCTCCTGACTATGGTATCCCACACTCAGCAGCTAGCTGCTTTACTTCTGCATTGCCACTAAAGATGGATATGTGATTTGTCTTCAACTTTACACTGCCACAGAAACTACGATGGATAATAAAATTTTTTATTCTACGGGCAAAGGACATCCTTATATATGTTATTTAATGGCCATGCAGGATGGAATTACCAGTAGATATTCAGTGGTGGACTACCAGATAACAAGTACATACATTCTCTATTTGACCAAGAACTTAGATTTCTCTATAGACAGCTGGACTAGTTTACACTCCTAACATCGCCACATTAGCGTTTCCTTTTTCCCTGTCCTCATGGATTTCTAACATTTAATGACATAATAAATACATGTCTTATAAAGAAGCACCTAAGAATTGTTTTGAGTTGTTTTAATTTCCATTTTTCTGCTCATAAGGAACAGAAACTGCCTATGAGAGTGACTAGGTATTAGACTTAAAGACAAAGGTGGGCCGGTGCTGTGGTGTAATGGGTAAGGCTACCACCTGCAGTGCCAGCATCCCATATGAGTGCTGGTTCAAGTCCTGGCTACTCCACTTCTTTATTTCTTTATTTTTTTAAGATTTATTTATTTATTTGAAAGTCAGAGTTACACAGAGAAAGGAGGCAGAGAGAGAGAGAGAGGTCTTCCATCTGCTGGTTCATTCCCCAGATGGCTGCAATGGCCAGAGCTGTGCTGATCCGAAGCCAGGAGTCAGGAGCTTCTTGTGGGTCTCCCACGTGGGTGCAGGGGCCCAAGGACTTGGGCCATGTTCTACTGCTTTCCGGGGCCATAGCAAAGAGCTAGACAGGAAATGGAGCAGCCAGGTTTCGAACCAGTGCCCATATGGGATGCCGGTGCTTCAGGTCAGGGCGTTAACCCACTCTGCCACAGCGCCAGCCCCTGGCTGCTCCTCTTCTGATTCAGCTCTCTGCTGTGGCCTGGGAGAGCAGTGGAGGGCCCCTGCACCCATGTGGGAGACCCTGAGGAAACTCCTGGCTCCTGGCTTCAGATCGGCATAGTTCCAGCTGTTGTGGCCATCTGGGGAGTGAGCCAGCAGATGGAAGACCTCTCTCTCTCTCTCTCTCTCTCTGCCTCTCCTTCTTTCTCTGTGTAACTCTTTCAAATAAATAAATAAAACAAAAAGTTTTTAAAAAAGACAAAGGCTTTAAAGTAATCACTGTAAATATATACAAAGAATGAAGCCCATCAAATAGAGAACAATAAAGGGATCTTACCAATAAAGGTGCAGATAGTGTATAAAAACTAGAAATTCTGGGATTACAAAGTACAGTGACTGAAATGGAAAATCCACTAGAGGGACTCAAGACCAGAACTGAACTGACAGAAGAATTCGTATACCTGAAAGTCAATTAATATTATGCAATCTGAAGAGCTGGGAGAAAAAAAAGAAAAATGAGCAGAGCTTCAGATAAATGAGGGCCACCAATAAGCACACCAACTTACGTATAAAGTGATTAGAAGGAGAGGAAAAAGAGAAAGGAGCCCAAAAAATCTTTGAATAATGATGAGAAAACATCCTAAACTTACGGAAAACACTGTTGTACACTATACACACAGAAAATTCAATAAACTCCAAGTAGGAAGAACATGGAGAGATCCAAAGTAGTCACATCATGGTAAAAACTGCTGCAAGTCAAACACAAGAGCATTTGGAAAGCATCATGAAGACAACAACTGCTCACTTGCAGGAAACTCCAGTAAGCCGTTAGTGTTGGCCCTGAATGTTAAATACAGCACCCAAAGGTTAACCCAGAAGATACAAATGGACAAATTAGATTTCATAAAACTTAAAAACATTTGTACGTGAAAGGATACTATCAAGAAAGTGAAGACAAACTCTTACAACAAAGTACTTGCAAGTCTCAATATAAGGGACTGTGTCTTGAATAATGAGACTCTTACAATTCAATAATGAAAAGGAAAATAATGAAATTTTTAGAAAAGATTTAGTTATCTATTTGAAAGGCAGAGCAAGAGACAGAAAGGGGAGAGAGAGGGGGAGAAAGAAAGTGGAGGAAAGAGAGAGAGAGAGCGAGCTTCCATCTGCTGGTTCACTCCCCAAATGGTCACAACAGCCAGGTCTGGGCCAGGTTGAAGCCAGGAGTCAAGAACTCCATCCTGGTCTCTCACATGGATGGCAGGGGCCCAGGCACTTGGGTCACCTTCTGCTGCTTTCCCAGGTGCAGTGGCAGGAAGCTGGATCAGAAGCAGAGCAGCCAGGACTCAAACCACCACCTTGATATCACAACAGCAGCTTAACCCACTGTGCCGCAACGTAGTTGAGCAATTTTTTAAATCAGCACCAGACTATATATTCTCTAAATAGCCAAATGCATGTGAAAATATGTTCAACATCATCACCACCAGGCAAATAAAAATCAAGAGATGGGGCAGGAGCTATAGCATTGGCAGGTTAAGCTATTGCTTGGGATGCCCACACCCCATATCAGAGTACTTGATTTGAGTCCCAGCTACTAGCATTTCTGATCCAGCTTACTGCTAACGTCCCTGAGAAGCTGTGGCTGATGACTCAAGTACTCAGGTTCCTGCCGCCCATGTGGGAGACCCAGATGGAGTTCCTGGGTTCTGGTTTTGCCTGGCTGAGTCCCAGCTATTATGGGCATTTGGGGAGTCACCTGGCAGATGGAAGATTTCTTTCTCTGTTTCTTTCTGTATCACACTGCTTTTCAAATAAATAAAAATAAATAAATAAAAAGAATCATGAGATGCCACTTTACCCCCACCGGGATGGCTATAATCAAAAGTGAGATAATAGTAAGTGTTGGCAAGCATAGAGAGAAATCAGAGCCCTCATCCACTGCTTATGGGAATATAAAATGGTACAGCCACTTTGGAAGACATTCTGACAGTTCCTCAAATGATTTAACATGGAGTTACTATCCTCCACTACTAAGAAGAGATATGAAAATATATTTCTACATAAAAGCTAGTGTAGGAATGTTTATAGCAGCAGTACTCATAATAGCCAATAGATGAGAAAAACCCAAATGTCCAAAATTAATGCATAGTTATACAAAATTTTGATGTATTCATACAATAGAATATTTGGCCATAAAAAGGGAATAAAGTACTGATATATGCTACAATATGGCAGAACTTTGAAATCATACATGTTTTTATTGTATAATTCCATTTATATGAAATGTCCAGAATAGGCAAATCTATAAAGACATAAGGTAGACTAGTGGTTGCTTAGGCCTGGGGCAGGTGGGTGGACAGGAGAGGAGGGATAATAGCTCAAGAGAATGGTGGTTTTCTTCCTTCCTCCCTCCCTCCCTCCCTCCCTCTCTCTCTCTCTCTTTCTTTCTTTTTTGAGATGATGAAAATGTTCTAAAAATGATTGTGGTAATGGCTGCACGCCACTCTGAATATACTAAAACTCATTAACTTGCACTTTGCAAACAGATTAACTGTATGTTAAAACATACAATAGGGGCCGGCGCCATGGCACAGTAGGTTAATCCTCCGCCTGTGGCGCTGGCATCCCATATGGGTGCCGGTTCTAGTCCCGGCTGCTCCTCTTCCAATCCAGCTCTCAGCTATGGCCTGGAATAGCAGCAGAAGATGGACCAACTGCTTGGGCCCCTGCACCCATGTGGGAGACCTAGAAGAAGCTCCTAGTTCCTGGCTTTGGATCGGCGCAGCACCAACTGTTGTGGCCATTTGGGGAGGGAACCAATGGAAGGAAGACCTTTCTCTCTGTCTCTCCCTCTCACTGTCTGTAACTCTACCTCTGAAACAAATACATAAAATCTTTTTAAAAATACAATAATTACTAGTGTAATTATATAAATGTAACTCAATAAAGCTATTATTTAAACATACCAATTACTGAGAAAGACACATTGAAATCTCCTGCTATGATTATAGAGGGTTTCTTTTCCCTGTTTTGTCAAATTTTGTGTTACCCATTTTTAATTCATGCCCTTAGGTGCATGCAAACTGGAAATTGCTGTACCTTACTGGCAAAGTGTCCCTTTCCTAAGTCCATGGCGATCTGTGTGTTAACAGTGCTTTTGGGTTGTGACCTCTGCAGTGTACTTGTTATTCCCAAATAACACAAGAGCAGCAATAAGCTTTCCATAAGTACATCTTTGTGCACACAAATAAAGCAACAGATTAAATGCCTCAAGTATAATTGAACTGTAAGATTTAAATTCAGTAAGACAACATCAATGTGACCCAAAGCGGCTGCAGCCATCACAGCCCCACCAGGTGTCTCAGAGTGCACCTGCATGGACCCCCGAGAGTTTCTTTATTTTTATTGTTGTTATTATTTTTATTTGGCAGGTAGAGTTATAGACAGTGAGAAACAGAGAGAAAGGTCTTCTTTCTGTTGGTTCACCCCACAATGGCCGCTACGGCCGGTGCTGTACCGATCTGAAGCCAGGAGCCAGGTGCTTCCTCCTGGTCTCCCATGCAGGTGCAGGGCCCAAGCACTTGGGCCATCCTCCGCTGCCCTCCTGGGCCACAGCAGAGAGCTGGACTGGAAGAGGAGCAACCGGGACAGAATCCGGCACCCCAACCAGGACTAGAACCCGGTGTGCCGGCGCCACAGGCGGAGGATTAGCCTAGTGAGCCACGGTGCCAGCCGAGAGTTTCTTTTGCTCTGTTATGAAGCAGGTGAAGCAGCCCAGCCTCAGCTCATTTGCATTAAATCTGTCCCCAAGGTGACCAGCCTCCGCCAGGTACACAGAACTGTTCTGGAAGGAGGCGCTGCTGGGGGAGACTCACTTTGCTGATCTCTGTCAGGGACATGGTGATGCTGTAGAGTTGGTTCTTGCTGGTGCTGGCAACCAGGGTCTCCTCCGAGGGGCTGAAGCACATGCAGAGAATGTCCTGCTTGTCGGACTGACTCGGGTCATTGCTCTGTGGGTCCACAGGGATCTGCCCAAGATGCAAAGCAGCATCAGTACTGTCCCTACATCATCAGGCATAGCTTAGGCTTCTGGAGTTTTCTGCTGGTTTACAGACCCCCTAGTCCAGGATGCTTCCTGGAGCCGCCTCAGGTGTGAAGGGAGGGTTGGAGCTGACTCTGTCTTTGAGTTTTCAATACCACCATGTATTCCCTGTTAAGTGATTAGTGGCTAAATAATAAGACAGCAGCAAATGTGACCAACGATCAATCTATACATTTCAATTAGAGACCCCCCCCCTCCCAAATTTAGAGTGAGCATTTAAATCCCACTCTTAGGGTGGGTATTGGGCCCAGTGGTTAAGTCCCTGAGTGGGATGCCCACTTCCCATATCACAGTGCCTGGTTCAAGTCCTGGCTACTCATGATCCAATTTCCTGCTAATGCACACCCTGGAAGGCAGCAGATGATGGCTCAAGTACTTGAGTCCCTGCCACCCACGTGGGAGACTCGGATTGAGTTCTGGGCTCCTGGCTTTGGTTTTGTGGGGAGCAACTGGGAGCAACTCGGACTAGACTAAGTTACTGGAATTAAGACTTATTCTATGCATCTGCTTTCCCACAATATGGCGCTGAGAAGGGAAACAGCTTCTACACAGCTGCCTCCAGTTCAACCAATAAACTGTGGGACCTGCTCCTGATTGGAGGAGAGCAGCGTACTCGGCATGTGGGTAGCAGAGTTGGGATTGGTGGAAGAGGACTATAAAGGAGGAGAGAGACGGCATGCACCAGGAACATCTAGGGGGAACATCTGAGGGAACACCTGTGCAGCCCCCGAGAGAGCCGGCCGGCGGTGTGCCGCTCCCCCGCGGAAGTGGGGAATGTGGCAGGGGGAACCGCCCTTCCACGGAGGTGGAAGGGACGGTAGCCAACCCGGGAAGAACCAGCAGCAAACCTGGGAAGGGCCGAGCAGACAAAAGAACAGCGCAGGGTCCTGTGTCGTTCCTCCACGAAGACGGGGAGCGACATAATGGTGCCGTGACTCGGATATGAAGCCTAGGCAGGATTCAGTGTCGTTCCTCCATGAAGAGGGGGAGCGACATAATGGTGCCGTGACTCGGATGAGGAAACCTAGGAGGGAAGAAACGGGAAGAAATGGGAAAATACCGGAGAGAGAGACTAGCAAAGAGCCTAGGGAAAGCCGGATGGAAAAAGTGCCGGAAGAAGCTATTGAAAGCCTAGGCATAGACTCGGATACAGACTGTGGGAAAGAAGTTAGGATTTAAAGTGAAAGCAAGAAGAAACTTAGACTCAGATACGGACTGCAGGTTGAAAGTGAAAGTGAAACCTATAAGAAACTTAGACTTGGATACGGACTGTGGGGAGAGGCCAGGAGAAATGAGGGAGGAATATTGTTGGAAGAAAACTTAGGGAAACATACCGGGTAGAGAAAAATATGTTAGGGAGGATGTAGCCGCGGGGGCAGGCCGAGGCGGAAACGCAAGCCAGCTTGGGATTCATCAAGTCAGCCCGGGGAGCAAAAGGCGAAAATCTAAAACTAGAGGCGGAGACGTATGAGCTAGGTTGGAATCCGTCAGATTAGCCTGAGGAGCAAAGGACGGGAAGCCAGACCGAAAGGCGCAGACGCGTGAGCTAGGTTGAATTCGCCAGGTTAGCCCAGGGAACTTAGATTGAATACTAGTGGCGGAGACGTGAGCTGGGGCTGTGTGACTCGCGGAGGCTGCCGCGCGCAGAGAAAGCGTGCGGGGCACAAGTAGATAGGGAACGCGGGGCTAGCGCGGAGACCGCGGAGTGCGCGCGCGAAGCCAAGCCGCGCAAAGCCGGGAAGCCGCGCAGATGAGAGAGGCGCGGGCTGAAGCGGCTCAGAGCCGGGAAGCCGCCGAGAAGCAGCCTCGGGGCGGGCGCCGGGAAGCCGCAGGGATAAGAGAAACAGAAGTTTAGAAGTAAAATGAGAGAAATAGGAATGCTGGTAGATAGAAGTAAAATAGGAGAGATAGGAATGCCCGGAGATAGAGAAATAGAGAAAGGCCTCCCCACAACACAGCAATGAGAGAGCTTGGATTCGGTCTGCCTGATTAGGAAGGCGGTGAGCACCTGCGGGCGGCTAGCAGCTTATGCGCCGCAGGTCACCGAAGACAGGCACGAATTAACATCAATAAGGCCTCCCCACAATACCGCAATGAGAAGGCTTGGATTCGGTCTGCCTGATTAGTAAGGCGGTAAGCACCAGTAGGCAGCTCGACCAGAGTATGAGCTGCAGGTCACCGAAGATAGGCATGAACCAACACCAATAAGCCTCCCCACAATATGGCAATGAGAAGGCTTGGATTCGGTTTGCCTGATAGGGCTTGTAAGCACCTACAGGCAGAGCAGAGCATGCGCTGCAGGGCACCGAACTCAGGCACACATCAGCGCCTAAAAACCTCCTCACAACATGGCGAAGAGAGGACCCGGATTCGGTTTGCCTGATTGACAGGACTTGTAAGAACCTGTGGGCAACTCTAGCAAGCAGAGCAGAGTGTGTGCCGCGGGGCACCGAAGACAGGCGCGTATCAACGCCAAAAATAAAAAGAAAGGGGGATCTGTGGGGAGCAACTGGGAGCAACTCGGACTAGACTAAGTTACTGGAATTAAGACTTATTCTATGCATCTGCTTTCCCACAATATGGCGCTGAGAAGGGAAACAGCTTCTACACAGCTGCCTCCAGTTCAACCAATAAACTGTGGGACCTGCTCCTGATTGGAGGAGAGCAGTGTACTCGGCATGTGGGTAGCAGAGTTGGGATTGGTGGAAGAGGACTATAAAGGAGGAGAGAGACGGCATGCACCAGGAACATCTAGGGGGAACATCTGAGGGAACACCTGTGCAGCCCCCGAGAGAGCCGGCCGGCGGTGTGCCGCTCCCCCGCGGAAGTGGGGAATGTGGCAGGGGGAACCGCCCTTCCACGGAGGTGGAAGGGTCGGTAGCCAACCCGGGAAGAACCAGCAGCAAACCCGGGAAGGGCCGAGCAGACAAAAGGACAGCGCAGGGTCCTGTGTCGTTCCTCCACGAAGACGGGGAGCGACAGGTTTGGCCCTGCTCTGGCTGTTGTAGGCATCTGGGGAGTGAAACAATGAATGGAAGATCTTGCATGTACTTGCTCTCTCCTCTGCCTGCCTCTTTCAAGTAAAATAAACTAAGTAAAAATTTAAGAATCAATCAGTCCATCCATCCCATTATTGCCACCTGCTGGAAGCCCAAGGCATGAGGTCCCCTGGCACTGAGTACACTGGTGCACACTTGAGGGCAGCAGAGGGCTATGTGACAGCCTGGCAACCACATGGGGTGGCTGGCAGGGCAGAGGAGAGAGAAGGGGCCCCACAGCTCCCGCCAGCAGTTCCCTCTTCACATTGGTTCCTAACATCCAACGCAGAAGTTATAAAACTAGATTTCCTTGTCACTGGTCTTCCACCAACAACCAAACTTCCTGAAAGGTGCCCATCTTTTCACTTCCTTACCTCGCACTCAGCTTCTTAATTCTTTAGATTCTGGCTTCCACTGCACCATTTCTGAAACTGTCCTCACAAAGATCAGAAACTCCCTTATCACCGAGGCCAAAGACAGCTGCTCTGCCCTCATCCTCGGGACTTGCCTGGAGCCTTTGGCAGTGAGGCAGCCCCGCCGCTGCTGCTCAGCTCCCTGGGCCGCATGCCTCCCTCCCTGGGCTTGGAGTCCTGTCTTTCTGTGTACCCGAGCCTCTTCACGGAGCCAACATCCTTGCACCCTAGGACAGTACAGCCTCTGGGAAGTGTGGGCCGCGTGGGTGCTGCTGGCCTCTAGGTGCACCCACTGTGGTCAGGTTTGCCACACGGTGTAGACTGGGAGCCCTCAGACCAAAGACCTTGTCCATCTTGTCTCCCTGCTGTGGCCCAGGGCTTCCAGCAGTGCCCGGCACACGGTTGTTCTCTCCAGCATCAGTGAGCTCCTGCGGGAAAGAGGCCAGGTCTGACCCCTGTCTTAGGTGCCAGCATGGGTTCTATCAGGGAAGGTGCACAATGGATATGGATAAAGAGTGAGTGAACGAACCACCGCGGCTTCTCGGGATCCTCGCTGGCTCTCACCCTGCAGCAGCCTCCACATCAGGAAGTTCCCAGGCTTGGCCCCAGTCTTTTTCCACCCCCTCCGTAGTTTATCTTTCAGGGATTTTACTTAATATGAGTGTGCTAAAGAAAACAACGGCAGTACAAATGATTATAATGCTAAGCTCACTTGCTCTCTCTCTCTCTCTGGTGTGTGTGTGTGTGTATGTGTGTGTATTGATCCCATTCCCATTCCCAAACCATAAATCCATGTTTCCAGCAGCCTCACTTGATCTGGGTCTCTGCTCAAAAGTCCACTTCCTTAGCGAGGCTCCTCCCATCATTTTTTAAAAAAAGACTGATTTATTCATTTGAAAAGCGGAGTAACACAGAAGGGGGGGAGAAGGGGGAGGGGGTGGGGGAGAGAGGGAGAGGGAGGGAGAGAGAGAGAGAGGGAGAGAGAGAGAGACCTTCCATTTGCTGCTTCACCCCCCAGTGCTAGGCCAGGCTGAAGCCAGGATTTTCATCCCGGGTCTCCCATGTGGGTACTGGGGCCCAAGCTCTGCTGCTTTTCCATGGGCACTGGCAGGGAGTTAGATCGGAAGTGGAGCAGCAGGGCCTCGAACTAGTGCCCATAGGGGCTCAACCCCCTGTGTCACAGCGCCGGCCCCTCCTCCTCTACTCCTGCCGGAACAGAATGCCCTCTCGCTCCCTGTCCTCTTTCTAGCTGATTTTCTTCCTGTGTTCATCTCCATCTGACAACTGATTCCTGTGTTTCTCTGCTTCTTGATTGAGCAGCGAGGGCAGGCTCTTGGTGTGTTGGTTTCCCCCACTGCACTCCCAGCATCTACCACAGAGCTTGGCACAAGATAAACAGTAAGAATGAATTGTTTTATGAGCAAAAATAAACTCACACTGCTTCTGCCTTCTTCCCATCAGTCCCAGCTACTCTGCTCTTACCCAGCTTCCCTACAGCTGGTCCGTTCCTGGACATCCGGCCCTAATGCCTGGGAGCTATCTCTGAGCGTCCCATGTCCATGACCTCCCATAGCTCCTCAGGGAAAGTCCTAGAGACTTAACCTTCACAAAGGCTCTCTGCCCCACTTCCCCTGCTACTCGCTGTCCTGATCTTACACCTTACTACCTTCTGACTTCACTAATAAACTCTCTCTCTCTCCTTTTTTATAGGTTTATTTATTTATTTGAAAGTCAGAGTTACAGAGAGTGGGAGGGAGAGAGAAAAAGAGATCTTCCATCCAACAGTTCACTTTCCACATGGTAGTAATGGCCAGGGCTAGCCCAGGCCGAAGCCAGGAGCCAGGAGCTTCTTCCAGGTTTCCAACATGGGTGTAGGGGTGCAAACACTTGGGCCATCCTCTGCTGCTTTCCCCAGGCCACTAGCAGGGAGCTGGATCAGAAGTAGAGCAGCTGGGACACAAATGGTGCCCATCCAGGATGCCAGCACCACATAGCTTTACCTGCTATGTCACAAAGCTGGTCCCACAGACTCTCTTCACCAATTCCAAATAGGAGCACTTCTACCATTCACTGAGCACCGAGTGGCCAAGCCCTGCCCACGGTGGTCTGGCTGGGCTGTCCTTTCATCCTTTTAGTATTGGGAGATTGGGTTATTTTCTCAATGCAGAGACACGGGTGTGCGAGATCCAGCCCCACAGCCCCAGTCTGACTCCCTCGCTTCTAACCCCCTCGCGTCCAGTGCCTCTAGAGTCGGTCTGGCCAGGTATCAGGGGCAGATTCCTTACGCGTAGGCCCTTCTGCTCAAAACCCTGGCAGGGCGCCTGCTAGTTCCACACACAGCCCTCAGGCTGGCGTCTGAGCTCTCTCCCCAGCCTCTGCGCCCTTCTTTTCCCTCCAAGTGACTTCAGCCCCTGTCCACTGGGGACAGAACATCGCCCCCTCAGTGGTGTCTTTGCTTACGCTGTTCCCTCCAAGGGGGGTTCCTAATTCGTTTCCTGCAGTCAGAAGTTCTCCACCTTCTAGGACCCTTCCTCGAACATTCCCATCAATGCTGGGAAGCCTTCCTGACCCTCCCCAACCCCTTCCCACACCACCCTGTGTATCATTTATTCCACACCCAATGGCTGAAGGCTGATGGACGATGTGCCAGGAGGTCTACTGGGCACTCAACATCCACACAGGCCATAACAAACAGAAGCTACGGGAACACGGAGGGGACACAGGAAATAGAACGTGCCAAAGTTATCTCCCAGGACTCAAACCCATATCTTCCTACTTCTAAACCCCAAAGTGGGGTAAAGCATTGAGGCACAGGGGGTCAGGCCACAGCCTGCAATGCTGGCGTCCCATACCAGAGTGCTGCTTTGCGTGCCAGCTGCTCTGTTCCAATCCAGCCCCCTGCTATCGCTGTCTGAAAAGGTAGGGGACGATGGCCCAAGTGCTTGAGTCCCTGTCACCCACGTAGGAGCCGCAGGTGGAGTTCCTGCCTCCCGGCTTCAGCCTGGCCCAAAGCTAGCTTTGTGGCCATTGGGGAGTAAACTAGCATATGGAAGAGCTCTCTCTCCCTCTCCTTCTGTTACTCTTTCAAATAAATAGATAATGTTTTTAAAAAGAAAGACAAAAACCCAAACATATCCACCTCACGCTAAAACCTCCCCCGGGATGGGCATCGCCAGTCATCACCATCTGTGCCCAATGCTGCCGCCCTCTGCCCCCTCAGTGCCTTGTCAGAGCCCCTGCTGCCGGAGCACCGACGGCAAGGGGGCGACCCTGCTCCTGCGCCTTTCCCCTCTCCCCTCCTTACCCGGATTTCCCTGCTCTCCCGGTAAAAATCCTTCTCTTCTATCTTCTCAAACAGCAGCACTCTCCCCGGCCCAGCCGAGCAGGCGAACCCCTTGGAATAGGCTGCAATGGTAAACACCTGGGGCATGGAGAGCTGGCTGTAGTTGCTGGCCGTCAGGATCTGCTCGTAGGAAGGGACTGGGGAACTGGCTGGTGGGAATTCGATCAGGCTGGAAAAGGAAAACAGCATCCACAGTTTTCACAGCCAATTCCATGGGGCTGAATTCTGCTCGGGGTGAGAAAGAGGGCACCCTTGGGTGGAGGAGAAGCCACCCGGTGATCCCTGCTCCCCCAGGCAAATGCTGCCCCTCAGCCTGCGGGCGCCAACTCTGACAAGAGGAGACCAGCAGGCTACACATGTACGGGATGTTTCACAACCCTGTGTGTTACGGCAGTGATGGCCACGTTGTCAGAGGACGCTCAGCCCCCACTGTGCTTTGAAGGAAGCGGTTCAGAGTGGTTTTACTGACATCATCCAACTACTAAGTGGCAGAGCTGAGGTCTGAATCCAGGTCTCCATTTCCTTTCATAGATTCATACATTAAATATTCTTACCTTTCTCTAAATTCTTATTTGGAGTTAGACTGTGTTAACAGCTCTGTGCAACAATGGTAAATGAGACTGACACGGTTCTTGTCCTGAGAAGCTTATGGACCAAGGCATAGCTGTTAGGGGACAGCTGAGTGGGATGGGAGTAGCCGGTCAGCAGGTAACAGGGGTTTTCTGAGGACAGGGACAGAGGAGGGGCACGGTTCTGAGATGAGCAGAGGCTGCGAGCTGGGACCTGCAGGACAGACAAGACAGACAGGGGGACACGGGGAACTGCACACCGCCAGGCCTGGAAGCAAGTCTGCACAGAGGGTGTGCGGCGAGAGGTGAGAGCAGATGCCCCGGATATAAAGAAGGGTGAGCACAGCGGGGATGTGTGGGCTAAGCGAAGGGATCTGGCCTTTGTTCCGGGAGCCCTGAGCCCACTGCACACTGCACACTGGATGCGCCTCCGTCACCACGACCCGAGAGGAGTTGTATGGGGGCACAGCGAAGGAGGGGAGGGTGGGAAGTCACTGAGGGAGGAGCCACTGGATGCCACTGGGTTGAGGGCTCAGGTTGCAGAGGTTGCTAGATCTGAGTTTGAATACTGATTCTGCCAGGTAATGGTGCTGTGATCTTGAGTGAGTCACTTAACCTGTTTCCTTGTCTATAAAATATGTATGATAGTGATATGCATCGTGCAGGGGAGGACTCAAATGGGAACAAATAAGGAAAGTTGAGAGTGTTGGGTACAGGTGGGGCTGCACCCAGCACATGTGAGGTACAGTTATTTCTGGTTATGACAGTGGTAAAACGGAGCACTCCCGCCTGAGGCCCCACCTGACTCCTCACGCTTCTACTAGGTTTACTCACAACTTCTCGTACTTTGCTGGTCTGCCACTTCCCAGTGGATGGTATGTTCCTTGAGGACCTGGATCCCCTGCACCCAGCAAGATGTTTTACACGCTGCAAGGGCCCAGTGGACATTACCGTAATCAATACAGTAACTTAGGCAGCCATTAGAAAATGTATTTTTGGAAAAGTATAATTTTGAAGACTAGTCATACTAAAATGGCTATAAAATGAGATTAGGTATAAAAATAAAAAGACTTCTATCTTGGGGCCGGCACTGTGGTATAGCGGATAAAGCCGCTGTCTGCAGTGCCGGCATCACATATGGGCACCAGTTCGAGTCCTGGCTGCTCCACTTCTGATCCAGCTCTCTGCTACGGTCTGAGAAAGCAGTGGAAGATGCCTCAAGGCCTTGGGCCCCTGCACCCACATGGGAAACCCGGAAGAAGCTCCTGGCTTCTGGCTTCAGATTGGCCCAGCTCTGGACATTGCAGCCAATTGGGGAGTGAACCAGCAGATGGAAGACCTCTCTCTCTCTCTCTCTCTCTCTCTGCCTCTGCCCCTCTGTAACTCTGCCTTTCAAATAAATACATAAATATTAAAAAAATAATAAAAAGGCTTGCATCTAGTCTATGGTCCCATCAAGTCTGTGCTTGGATGTGGAGGAGCATTATATAGAAAAAGGGGAAATGAACACAGTAGACTTTTAAGTAGAATGGTTTTTAAAAACGCAGCTTCCTGGGTACAGCTGCTAGCACAGTGGGTTTGCGGGATCCAGCCCAGAGGGCGCCATTACCTCTCTGACTCCTGGATGATATCCAGGCTCTTTGAGCCGCTGGTGGCCTCCTTGACCATGATACTTGTTTCCCAGCGCTGATCTCCAGATTCAAAGAGGAAGAGCTTGCCTGTGTCAGTGCCAACGATAATCCTGTCCTCAGACACCCAGGCGTGGGCTAGATAGTTCTGTGGTTCTCCTCTCTGAAAATTGGTTTGCTTCAGAGTTCCCTCAGTGAAACGGAGAAGCTTAAATATCCCATTTCCGGTGACACAAACCTGTGTGTTATCCTGGGGATTGAAGCTCACCTGTAAGACGTGGATAAACAAAAGAAAAAATAAAATTAATCTTGATGGGATTATTTCTCACCTTACTAATTAACATTTATTTTAAGTAGCTCACATGTCCTTTACAGATCACTAAATCATTTAATTTTATACCACATTTGATAAGGACACACATCTACATTCATTATATTTGTGGGGCCCTCTAATAGTCAGCTTTTCATCACTGTAATACATGGGGGAAGCCACTTAGGAAAGAAGGAAGTTTATTTAGCTCACGGTTTCAGAGGTTCACAGTCTAAGATTGGTCAGGCCCCACTAGTCTGGATGAGGGACAGCAATGACAGAGCATATGCAGAGGAGGGACCCCATGACAAGCCAGGAAGAAGAGAGAATGATGAGGCCTGACTCAGGCTATTATAACCAACCCTCTCCTAGGAACTCCTTACCGAGAGCATTGCCCCAACACCCAAGGACGTCCCACTATTTCCTAGATATTGTAATTTGATCACATGTCCTCCCCTGGTACAATCAATTTAAGACTTTGGGACTTACTTATTTATTTTTAAAGATTTATTTATTTATTTATTTGAAAGAGTTACAGAGAGGCAGAGGCAGAGGCAGAGAGAGAGAGAGAGAGAGAGGGAGAGAGAGAGGGAGGGAGGAAGGGAGGGAAGGAGGTCTTCCATCTGCTGGTTCATTCCCCAGGTGACTGCAACGGCTAGAGTTACACTGATCAGAAGCCAGGAGCCAGGAGCATCTTCCGTGTCGATTTGGGTCATTTTCTACTGCTTTCCCAGGGCATATCAGAGAGCTGGATTGAAAGTGGAGCAGCTGGGACTCAAAACGGCACCTACACGGGATGCTGACATTGCAGGCAGCAGCTTTACCTGCTACACCACAGTGCTGGCTCCAAGACTTCGGGATTTAGTATTTGTGTTAAAGACTCCTAAGTCTTTTTTTAAAGAATTATTTTATTATTTATTTGAAAGAGTTACACAGAGAGGTAGAGCCAGAGAGAGGTCTTCCATTCTGCTGGTCACTCCCCAAATGACCACCAATGGCCAGAGCTGAGCTGATCCGAAGCCAGGAGCCAGGAGCCAGGAGCCAGGAGATTCTTCCGGGTCTCCCATGAGGGTGCAGGAGCCCAAGGAGTTGGTCCATCTTCTACTGTTTTCCCAGGCCATAGCAGAGAGCTGGATTGGAAGAGGAGCAGCCTGGACTCGAACCGGCACCCATATGGGATGCTGGCACTAGAGGCTGGGGCTTTAACCTGCTGCACCACAGCACCAGCCCCTACTCATAAGTCTTGAAAGAGGAAATCTATAAAGCTCCAAAAACCCAGAAGGATAAGTTTTGACAAAAGCCAAACTCTGTGCCAACAAAATGTAACAAAGCTCAGCTACAGAAACAGAAAAACAGGGGCCTGGCAGTTTGAACAGTCCTGTCCGGGGCAGAGAGACAAGCTGGGGGATGCTGTGTGGTCTTCTACCAGCTGGGCTGCTTCAGCCTTCACCCATATCCCAGCGTATAGTGATGGGCAGTCAGATGGGGCCCACTTGAGGGGCTGGGGCTTTTGTTAAAAAAAAAAAAAAGGGTTTATTTATTTGACAGGCAGAGTGCCAGAGAGAGAAGTTACAGAGAGAGAAGAGAGAAGAAAGGAGGGGGGGAGGGGGAGGGAGAGGGAATCTTCCATCCATTGGTTCACTTCCCATATGGCTGCAACGACTGGGGCTGGGCCAGGTGGAAGCCAGGAGCCAGAAGTCAGGAGCTTCTTCAAGGTCTCCCACACGGGTGCAGGGGTCCAAGGACCTGGGCCATCCTCTGCTGATTTCCCAGGTGCAGGGCACCAGATTGTAAGTGGAGCAGCTTGGTCTTGAACCAGTGCATGGGCTGGGGATGCCGGTGCTACAGGCCACGGCTTTAACCTGTTGAGCCATAGCACCAGCCTCTATGGCTTTTTCATCTCTGTATTCCCAGTGTTGACTTTTTTAAAAAAAATTTTATAGTGCAAATCAAATAAATGATTATTGAATCTCCTTGAGAGGAGGTACCCAGTGCTCTCAATGAGGCTGCTTCTTCAGCCTTGCTATGGCCTGGATGAGACAGCCTTTCGGCTCTACCTGCTTTTGTTCTGGATCTGTGATCACCTTCTGTTTGCTATTTCATCCCTTAACTTTTTGATTACCAGGAGGGGAGTAGGGAGGATAAATTATGTGTGTCCTGGTTGTGATGTACTTGTTTATACATCAGCCTCTTACAAGTTGAATAACTGAGTATGTCTGATTAGCTTGGATCTCTGAACATGAACACAAGTGAATTGTTGAACTTGTAGAACGGAGTACTAGATCCTAGAGTGGGGTGACTCTATCAAGATAAAACCCCTCCTTAGATCTCCTGCCCATGAAGTGAACCGCCTCCTGAGAAGTCTTCACTTTGCCCTCAAACCACAATAGGAAATGCTTCTCCCAGTATAACTGCAACTTCATCAACAGCTTCCTATAGATCTGCCATTTTACACCACATTCCTGGAACCTTCCTACTGCTCAGAAACACTGCCAGGAAGAGGCCAGGACCATGGGGACAGCAAGCAAGCTTTATGAATCTACCCCAGAGCCCAAGCTCTGATCAGAAAGCAGTTCTGGGCCAGAGCAGAGACAAAGGAGCTCAGTCAGAGAACCCCAGCTCTGCCCCACACTGCCTCTTGGAACTTGGCTATCACTTCATCTTGTGGAACCTCGGCTCCCCCCTCTGTGAAATGGGGATAATGATCACCCACACTTTACGTGGTTGCTGTAGGATTAACTTCTAAAATGCATGTAGGAAAGAAATCAGCACAGTGCTACACAGAAGGCAGTCAATAAAAGATAGCTCTTACCATTTTCCCCAGTTCGCATGGTACTTGCTATGCTAAGAGGTACCTGATAGATGGGGTTGTTCTGAATGTCAGTTCTGATGATGGCCATGACTTTCTGCTTTCCCCATAGCCAATAGACAAGGTTGGACTCTGGGGCTGATGTCTGAGCCAGCAGGTATTTGGAGTCTGGAGAAAAAGCCATGCTAATAAATTTCTGAACTGGGAAATCAAAATTGCTAAGGACTTTGCGCTTCCGGCAAGGGATAGATGACAGTTCGTAAATGGTGATGACAGGTTTTTCTTGCACGGTTTCCGAGATAGCCAGGTATCGCCGATTGGGGCTGATGGACAAGGCCAGCATGCCCTGGCTCTTGTCTGAGCCTGCAAACAAGAGGTGAAAGGGGAAAATGAGGGTCCACCATGCTTTCATCTGGGCTCAACACGAGCCAGACAGGACAGTGGGCACCGCTGATGCTGTAGGGAAAGGCACGTGGGTGGTAAACATCAGTTCGTGGCAGTGCCTTGGCCCAAGGACAACTGGGACAGGCACCCTGGAGAGCCTGAGGCAGGAGAGGTCTGAGCCCTTCCTGAAGGTGGATGAGGTGGGGTGGAAGCACGGGCGTAGTAGCAGGCAGAGCCCGAGCTGCATGTGAATGTTGTACAGGGTAGAGCAGGTGGGAGAACCACACAGGGGCGTATGGCTGAAGAGTGCACGTGAGCCAGGTGACGAAGATGGACCTAGAGGGGCAGTTGGGGCACATCACAGAGGCCTTTTTGCCATGAGTGGCCAGCACCTCACACTCCTCCTCTGCTCCAGACGCTGGCTGCTGCCTCGTGCACGCCTCTCAGGGCATCTGCGGGACAGCAGGCGAGCCTCGGCCAGAGGACGGAGGCAGAGGCTGCAGGAACGGCTTCACGATAAAACCCGTGGTCTCCTGCAAACCAGGGACAGATGCACTCAGTCCCCCTGCTGGGATCTATAGGTGTTGCAGGCAGACCCCGCAGTCTTCTGCCAACCAGGAAGTAAGGAGGCTGTAGGCCACAGCCACGGTCCTCCAGAAAGCAGAGCCGGGGCCAGGGCCGCAAGTGCAATCCAGGCTGCTTTAGGAGTCCTGTGCTCGCCATGATCTTTTGCTTTCACAGGCCCTATTATTATTAAGATTTGTCTGCTGTTTATTTAAAAGGCAAAGGCTGGCGCTGCGGCTCACTAGGCTAATCCTCCGCCTTGCAGTGCTGGCACACCGGGTTCTAGTCCCGGTCGGGGTGCCGGATTCTGTCCCGGTTGCCCCTCTTCCAGGCCAGCTCTCTGCTGTGGCCAGGGAGTGCAGTGGAGGATGGCCCAAGTGCTTGGGCCCTGCACCCCATGGGAGACCAGGATAAGTACCTGGCTCCTGCCATCGGATCAGCGCGGTGCACCGGCTGCAGTGCGCCAGCCGTGGCGGCCATTGGAGGGTGAACCAACGGCAAAGGAAGACCTTTCTCTCTGTGTCTCTCTCTCTCACTGTCCACTCTGCCTGTCAAAAAAATAAAAAGAAAAAAAAAAGAAAAAAAAAGAAAAAAAGGCAAAATGACAGAGAGGAGGGAGGAAGGGAGAGGGAGAGGGAGAGGGAGAGGGTGAGGGAGAGGGAGAGGGAGAGGGAGAGAGAGAGAGAGAGAGAGACATCTCCCACCCACTGTTTCACTCTCTAAATGACTGCAACAGCAAGGTCTGGGCCAGTCTGAAGCCAGGAGCCTGGAACTCCATCCTGGTCTCTCACAAGGGTGGCAGGGACCCAAGCACTTGGGACATTTTCTGCTACTTTCCCAGGTGCATTATGGAGCTGGGTCAGAAACAGATCAGATAGGACTTGAAGCAGCACTCCAATATGGGATGCCAGCACTGCAGCCTTCACCAGCTATGCCACAATGCTGGCCCCCATACATTATTTTCTAAAATTTATTTATTTAGTTATTAGAAAGGCAGAGGCAGAGACAGAGATCTCCTATTGCTAGCTTACTCTCCAAATGCCTGAAACAGCTGGGGCTGGGTCAGGCTGAAGTCAGGAACTTGGAATTCCACCTGGGTCTCCTACACAGGTAGCGGGAAGCCCTGTACTTGATCCATCACCTGCTGACTCCCAGGGTGTGCGCTAGCAGGCGACTGAAATCAGCAGCAGAGCTGGGACTCAGACTTACAAACTCTGATATGGGACTCAGGTGTCCCTGGCAGCATCTTAACCACTGAGCCTAACACTTCTCATATTTTTATATATTTTTAAAAATGGATGCAGTAATATGTATTATGAGTGACATAAAGAGAAATATAACCCAGGTTGCATGCACTAATATACAATTCATTATTATATCCATTTTTCCTGCTTTTAAAATAAATTAAAATGAAACCAGTTTCTTGGGTTAAAAGTACCACAGACCTTAGGCACTGTGCTCTGCTGGCAAGCTGTCCCGCGGCTGCAAGCCCAGGCAGGGAGGGAACGGGGGAAGAAAAGATGCATTAGGAAGTGAGGCACTGGGCGGCCGGGACTCTGCAGTACTGGTGTCCCCTATGGGCACTGATTCAAGTCCCGGCTGTTCCACTTCTTTATTATTTTTTTTTAAAAGATTTATTTACTTATTATTTGAAAGGCAGAGTTATAGAGAGGCAGAGGCAGAAAGGGAGGGAGGGAGGGAGAATCCTTCATCTGCTGGCTCGCTCCCCAGATGGCTGCAATGCCTGGAGCTGTGCCAATCCAAAGTCAGGAGCCAGGAGCTTCACCCAGGTCTCCCTCATGGGTATAGGGCCCTAAAAACCTGGGCCATCCTCCACTGCTTTCCCAGTCCACAGCAGAGAGCTGGATCAGAAGTGGAGCAGCTGGGGCTCAAACAGGTGCCCATATGGGATGCCAGCACTGCAGGTGGTGGCTTTACCTGTTATGCCACAGTGCTGCCCCCTGGCTGCTCCACTTCTCATCCAGCTCCCTGCTAATGGCCTGAGGAAGCAGTGGAAGATGGCCCAAATGCCTGGGCCCTTTGTACCCACATGCAAGACGTGGATAGAGTCTGGCTCCTGGTTTCAGCCTGGTCCAGCCCCAGCCATTTAGGGGAGTAAACCAGAGGTTAGAGTCTGGCTCCTGGTTTCAGCCTGGTCCAGCCCCAGCCATTTAGGGGAGTAAACCAGAGGTTAGAAGCTCGCTCTCTCTCTCTCACCCTGCCTTTTGCATACATAAATAAATTTAAAAATAAAAGAAAGAAAGTGGTGTGCTGGGTCCCCAGTTATGGGCCCCTGCTGCTGCTTCACAGGCCAAGGGGGGCTGTGGCGAGCTGTTCATCAGTGCTGCCCCGGGGCCCAGGCCTTTGCTGGGAGGGCTGCGGGCAGTCACTGCACCCTGCAGAATCCAGGTCTGTCACTGAGAGCCTTGCACAAGAGTCTGGACTTCACCGGGGAGGCAAACTGAAGCCACTGAACACATCTAGGGAGCACCACGTGCAAGCGGTAGAAAGAGTCGGCTGGCAGGAAGATCACCTTGGAGGGAAGGAAGACAGGCCAGCGCCGCGGCTCACTAGGCTAATCCTCTGCCTGCGGTGCCAGCACACCGGGTTCTAGTCCTGGTCGGGATGCCGGATTCTGTCCCGGTTGCCCCTCTTCCAGGCCAGCTCTCTGCTATGGCCCGGGAGTGCAGTGGAGGATGGCCCAAGTGCTTGGGCCCTGCACCCCATGGGAGACCAGGAGAAGCACCTGGCTCCTGGCTTCGGATTAGCGCGGTGTGCAGGCCGCAGCGGCCATTGGAGGGTGAACCAATGGCAAAGGAAGACCTTTCTCTCTGTCTCTCTCTCTCACTGTCCACTCTGCCTGTCCAAAAAATAAATAAATAAATAAAAAGAAGAAGAAAAAGGAAGGAAGGCAGTCAGCTGGCGACAGGGAGAAGTGAGAAGTGACAGCCGCAATAAGCAGTGTGAAGGTGGCAGGGGCAGCGGGATCGCAGAGGAGGGAGACCTGAGAAAGGCTAAGGTTAACTCACGGGACCTTGTATTGCCTGATGAGGGGAGAGAGACAGGAGTAGTAAATGATGTCTAGGTTTTTGGTTTAGGTGACTGGAGTCGGAGGGACCCTTGGGATAGAATATAGGCTGGGGGAGTTAGGAGCAAAGGTGGAAATCCCACCCAGTCTAGGGCGGCACAGTGGGCATGCCAGCATCCTGTGGGCATGGGCTCGAGTTCAGGCTGCTCCACCTCCAATCCAGCTCCTTGGTAATGCATTTGGGAAGGCAGCAGAGGACGATCCAAGTACTTGGGCCCCTGCCACCCACATGGGAGACCTGGCTATTGCATCCAGTAGATGGAAGATCACTGTCTCTGTCTTTCAAGTGAAAAAACTTATCTTTTAAAAATAGACCATCCAGGCCGGCGCCGTGGCTCAACAGGCTAATCCTCCACCTTGTGGTGCCGGCACACCGGGTTCTAGTCCCGGTCGGGGTGCTGGATTCTGTCCTGGTTGCCCCTCTTCCAGTCCAGCTCTCTGCTGTGGCCCAGGAGTGCAGTGGAGGATGGCCCAAGTGCTTGGGCCCTACACCCGCATAGGAGACCAGGAAAAGCACCTGGCTCCTGGCTTCAGATCAGCGCGATGTGCCGGCTGCAGCGCGCCAGCCACGGTGGCCATTGGAGGGTGAACCAACGGCAAAGGAAGACCTTTCTCTCTGCCTGTAAAAAAAAATAAATAAATAAAAATAAAAAATAAAAAAAATAGACCATCCAAATGTGTCTAATTTGTATATTTGCTTCTGGTATTTTATATGTGTGTGTGTGTGTGTGTGTGTGTTTAAAGATTTATGTGAAAGGCAGAGTGACAAAGAGTGAGTGAGAGATGGATTGATTTTCTGTCTTCTGGTTTACTTCCCAAGTGCCCACAACTGCCAGAGCTGAGCAGGCTGAAGCCAGGAGCCAGGAACTCCATCCAGGTCTACCATGTGGGAGGCAGGAACCCAACTACTTGGGCCATCATCTGCTGCTTCTCAGGCACATTAGCAGGAGGCTGGATTAGAGGGTGGGGGGCTGGTGCTGTGGCGTAGTAGTTAATTCCCCTTCCTCCCCGTGGTGCTGGCATCTTATATGGGCGATGGTTCTAGTCCTGGCTGCTCCTATTCTTATCCAGCTCTCTGCTAAGGCCTGGGAAAGCAGTGGAAGATGGCCCCCGCACCTGCATGGTAGACCTGGAAAAAGCTCCCTGGCTCCTGGCTTCAGATCAGTGAAGCTCCGGCAGTTGCAGCCATTTGGGGAGTGAACCAGCAGATGGTAGATCTTTCTCTCTGTAACTCTACCTCTCAAATATGTAAATAAAAAAAAATCTTAAAAAAAAAAAAAAAAAAAGGGAGTCGGGAATTGAACCAGGCACTCTTATTTGGGATGCT